TAACCAGACAATTTTAAGTAAAACAAAATAAAACAAATTCCAAAAACGGACATCTCGTTTTCTTGATATTTAAGATAATAATTCTGCAGACAGACTATATTTGCTGTATAGAATTGCAACTTTCTGTGCACGTCTTTAATATTTCTGCTAGAAGTATTATATCTGGCGGTTTACTTTAAAGTCTTGACAATCAACAGAGCATTAAATCGACGTAAATTTGTTGTTTTAATTTTTCAAGCTCGACTTTCGACTTTGCACCATTTTGCCATGTAATTTTACTGTTTATGTTTAATCTTGTTGTTAGATCGGTATCAGTTATTCTTTCAATTATTTCTTACAGAAACAACACTAAAAATCGTAAATCTGCAGTTCTTACTTGTAGTTAATGAGCGTACTCCGTAATGAAACATTAATTCTTACTTATAACAGCAAGATCAATTTAACTGAAAGACCATGTAATTCAAATGTAGACAAGCTTGTATTTTTAAACAATTAAATATTTTAAAGTGAAAGTGAAAAACTTTGATCAAATTCCAAGTATACGCCCAATAATATAATTCTAATTTCCAACTATATATTACTTCTATTAACAAGAGATACGCCTTGCTTTGTATGCCTTAAAATTCTACAAGCAAGTAAATTCAAAAATCGGTGTTCTAATTAGTTGACAAAACAAGCTTTGATAAATATAAAGGTTCTTCACTAATTAACATAACTACATTGAATTCTTTTCGCGATCTTATCTCTGCGATCTTATCCCTCGACAATTATACTTTTCAAACTAGCTTAGCTACATATGCAGTAGCAACCATCAAACAACTTTCGTTTGAAAGAAAAATTTTGTAATACCTTATGATTTACTCAGCTTAGTCCTACATCTTTGAAACGCATTAGTAAACTTGTAATGCTTATATAGAAATTCACCTTTAATATGTCGGTTTTTAAGGCTGGTTGAAACCAATTTGCCAACAAAAGAGCCCTCGTTTTGGAATTTTAGAATTCAGTCATTGGACTTTACTCATATGATCTTGTTTTACAAAGGATTTTGCCAAAGCTTTCAAGTCCTAATACAGTCAAAAGAAGACAACTGATTAAAACGGAGAAGCAACTCGACCATCATTCTTAATTTTTACAGTTATCCTAACGTCATGTATGTAAAAACAAAGAATTATAAGACTGTAACTCATACCTTATGATAGCATTAGTTTATTTTGGTCTACAAGCAAATACTAAAGATCCATTTAAGTTCTTCCTTTAACAACCTTTACATTAACATTAATGAGTTCTTGGAAGAACCTCCCACTCATACAACTAAGTACACGTCACTGAATTATAACTCTATTGATATGTAATATATCTTGAAGAGCCTCATGCAGAGTGCTTAATAACATTAATATTAGTCAATTATGCTCTGGTATGTTTTGACATGTCAAAAGGATGTTTAGTTTGAACTTTGAAGCAATGAATTTTATATCTGTAAGCAGACTATATTCGTTGTATAGAACTGAAAGTTTCTATACACATCTTCATCTATTTTAAAGGAGCATTATGTGACTCGCGTTGTTCTTCTCGGTCATCACGCGATTGTTTTGGCGGTTTACTTTAAAGTCTTCACATTTAACAGGGCATAAAATGGACGTAAATTTGTTATTTTAATTTTTCGAGCAAGTTTCGATTAAACATTATATGTTGTTTTCCTAAGTATTCATACGATCTATGTGCAACATTTTTTTTACATTTTAATGAGTGTAAACTCAAGTACCATGCAATTCAAATATCGTATCACCGGACTTTGAAGCATTTTGCTATGTAATTTTACTTTTTATAATTAATCTTTGTTGTTAGATCCGTATCAGTTATCCTTTCAATAAATTCTTACAACACTAAAAATCGTAAACTTGCAGTTCTTACGTTTTTCTAACGAACGTACTCCAGAAGAAAACATTAATTCTTGCTTATAGCAGCAAGATCAATTTAACTGAAAGACCATGTAATTCAAATTACCAACTATATATTGCTTAAACCATTAATAAGGGATACGCCTTGTTTCGTATGTCTTAAAATTCTACAAACGCGCAAATTTGAAAATCGGAGTTCTATAATCATTTGACAAAATAAGCATTAACAAATACATGGCTTTTTCGCCAATTAACATACCTACATTGAATTCTTTTCACGATCTTATCTCTTATGTATTAAAACTTTTCAATTACTTTATCATCAGACTTTCCAGCATTTTGCTTTGGATTTTACTGTTTATGTTAACAAAGAATGTTTTCATGCCAGTCATTCTTACTTGATCGCACGATAATTTTTACAATCATACTAAATTCCGATCTTCGTTTATATCGAATATATGTATATAAATATAATTTACCAAAGATAGTCCGGGTAGAAGAATATTTTACTAAAATCTCAAAAAGAACTGAAGGCTACAGTCAGAGGGACGTACGTAAAATGAGACTTTATTCGTTGAGTGTAGTACGCTTTTATGGTGGAGAGGAAGTGGGGTTATGCGTGCCTGTTATAATCCATAAGATAAATGATAGAGTTAGAAAAGCTAGATCTACAAGAATTTTGGTGTAGAATCAAGGCATGCAGTAAGATGTGGTCAAGAAGATGCGGTAGATAGGATAGATGCACGTAATTTGGCTGCATAAGAGCAGAAACTGAAGTAGACAAAACAGAATATCTGAATACCATAGTTCAATATGTCAAAATATACATACAATATCCTTGAAAAAATCCTCCCAATAAGTCGTTGAAAAACACTTTCTATCAACGTCAGACACTTCTGGCTTGTCGCCTAATGAGTGGAACACAAAATACCGGTCACAAATAAAGATATTATTCACGTCCTCTTAGCTACATGCAAATCTACTTAAAAATCAAAATACCAAAAACTGTCTTAAAAATACTTACCAGGATTGCTCGGAAAGCAACAACATAACAAGCTACAACTATTTGTATAGAATCAAAATCTACTTTCACAACTTCTGTGTGACTCACATTCCGTGAATTCGGACCTACTTTCAATTCGAGCAAATATTTTCCAAAATACAGGGGTAAAATATTGGATAAAAAATACACAGACATAAATAGAGAACTGAATCATTTAAACTTAGAACTTTGCATACATACCATAGCCAACTATTACTCTCGTCACTGGTGTGATCTTGAAGAAAAAATTTAAACTAAACTCGAAGATTTATTCTTCAGTTTCATTTTTGGAAAAATCTTTACCCGCTCATTTCAATGAACATCAAATTTCTTACCAGATAATTTTTGCTTTTTATATAAAAGATTGGTTGAGTTAAATACAGCAATAGCTACATATAAATGTTGTGCGTACGAATTAGAAAAAATTCACCATGATGTGGGAGAATTTTCTCCTTTCATCGCCCTTTAAGGAATGGTGAGTTTCATTTGCAACTCAAGCAATAAGTCACGTGCATATGACAACAATACTTATAATTGTATAGATAAGACAAATGACAGGATATGTGCATGTTAATGGTGAAAAAAGAAATAAAATAAAGTTTGCTACGTATGGAAGTAATATGTATGTCATGTATCCTTATAAAACAAAAAAATATTTTAATCTTTAAATCAAAATCAACGTCTACATTAACATCAAAATTTTAAGTAATACAAAAAACAAAGTGTTAGCACGTGTGTAGGTCGTAAAAATATAGTTACACTAAGAAGCCAATAAATTTTATATTTATTAACGAACATTAAATATATGCTGTCGTATTTCTTTACATTGTACGGTTGACGAAAGCATGAAAATATTCGGAACTATGCCATTAAGTTCCTATGTGATGTTTTGAAAAAGCTAAATACATAAAAAATAATTTTTATATCCTTAAAACGTAAAAGTTGAAATACATCTTTAAATAGCAAACAACACTTATCACACCAATCCACAGAGCTGAACGCTGTTATGTCACATTTGATTTGACTTCATTTATTTCAAAGGTTTGCATTTTCATCTCAGAACCTGTCAAAATGTTTCCACTATAAAAAATTTTTTGATAAATCCTCTAAACAAGACACGTCGAAGAATTTCAATGCTTACGTGTCGATGTTTCGTTGCTTTTCACGTAATGATCCTCTCTGATTTGGAGCCATGATGTCATAGCATTACTGCACTAAGTCTGTTCTTTAACTCATTCCACACAAGCACGTTTAATTAGCTGATTGAAGACTCTGTATGAACTTGCTATTGTCTAAAACCTTTCCAAAGACAATTCTTGATTCTCTATAATAGTTCCAAGTTGTTTCCTAGGCTTCACAACGCCGCATTCGTAAGCAACATCCGTTCGTTGACTAAGAGGCGATAAAAACTTTAGCACCAAAAGAACTTTGTAAACATCCTTCTCTCTAACATCCGCTATAGCTTTTCATTAATTAGAAACAGAATCCAATCATTCTACAAATGGCTGTTGCATTATTGTTAACGTTTGACGCAGAAAAATTTCACCGAAGTACAATTCAATGCTTGCTTCCCCTCATCGCAGAAAGTTAGTTGGTAACTTATCTTTTGCTTTGTTGATAAACTATCTATTCTCATTAATGTTACTTGCAGCGTTTCAACTTTTTTGGATTGGTGCTTTTGTTATTGCAGAAAATCAATTGAGAAGAATAATTTCGAGTGGCCTTTTTTGCTTAAAATGGATGTACAGCTCAAATGTTATATTATGAAGCACATTTTCTTCAATTTAAAGGAATACGACAACAAACAAAGAATAGGATGCACTTGTGCAGTGCTATCCACTGGAAAATGATTTTTTATGGGAATTAGCTAACAAAAAATCAGAGAGCGTTTCGAAATTCACTGATAATAAAAGAATTATCTTGGAATATCTTTTTGATAAGCTTAGAAAAATTATTGTTCAGTGGATAACACTATTCTAGTTTGCAAAAACAATATCTGAAATTAGAAAAAGAAACCTATTTATGAAACATAGCTAATATACAACAAACACACAACATGATTACAGCTGTTCCTCATACAGAAATAATTTTCTTATTAAAATTTATATCTATAACAATTTAATTATCGACATCAAAGAAATAGTAAACTTTACGATGGTTGATGGTTCATATCTATTTAATGCAAAACGTACGATCACCACAATTACGCATGCCCAAATACCTCATAGCACGACGTTCTTGTTAGTTTCATAATCAACAGAACAAAACTATCCTTTCGCTTTTCACATTTCTTAACCTTTTAGCCATTAATTTCCAAGCTGAATGGTCGTTGTAGCTGCAACGAGCCTAATTGTTTGTTTCGCCAGAGAAAAGCCTATTTAAGACAATAGCTACTTCGAAAATGGAAAAGTTTTGCATGTAAAGGATTTGTTAAAGTCAAACCAAAACAAGCAATGCTATACACGTCTGCCTCCGACGACATAATCACCTCTTGCTCACCATTATCAACTTTACCAATCAGATCCTCGATATTCACCAAAAAAGGCGATGTTAAATTAGTTGATTCCCAGCATAGGCAGAACGCTTGATGTGTCATGGTTGTGATAATTGTGATAGTTAATTGCCTTGTTTAAAATAGTTTTTTTCGTCTTTTGAGCACAGGACAGTAAATAACGACTTATTATCGGCATTGGGAAGGTGTGATTCATTTTTAGTTCTGGTCAGTTTTGGGAAGTTACTTGTCTGTAGTTGACAGAGTTTTGAAATGTGAAAAAAGTTTAACGAAGATTTTAATATTCATTTATCATATTGAAGTACGTTATACATACTGATTGGACTTGAACTGTATGATGTACGGAAAAAATACTCACTACTTAATGCACGCTTCTCTATTTTTAGTAAAATGTCGTGTTTACTTAGAGTTTTGTACGTTCTACAGTGTGATTTATCATATGAAATCAACAAGTTAATATCCTTCCTAAACAGAGTTTAATAAGACACGGTAATTTTGCAATGCGAAAAATGAAGCTTATCGTACAATACAATTACAAATTGGTTGTTACAAAATGGCCGAAATCTACATTTTATAAGTTGTAAGTTTCCTGCAGCTGCTCTTTAGCCTCTTTGAAGGTCACATCTTTCCAAGCTGAGGGGATGTCAGGTTCTTTTTTCTTATAATGTTCTGCAAGTTTTTTTGAGAATTTTACTATAAACCACTGCCAATATTTAGAGGGTTCAAATGAAGGATCTGGAGGAATTGTCCAGGATTTGTAATAATCGTTTACGGACTGATAGTCTTTATATTTACACCATTCCCAATTGGTCTCTGTGTTTTTAAATCTTCTTTCTCCAGCTACGCATAATGTGCAAATCTCGGAAATTAAAACTTTGCTTTCGATATCATGATAACCTGTCAAGCCCTGGGGACGATGTATTCGTGTTGAGTGATTACCTGGATGGCCTTCAATAGTCTGATCACACAAACCTTTGCAAAATGGACAAACGCACTTACAGCCAAACATTGCAGGGAACAGATTTTCATGGGGAGCTGGATCCCATTTCCCAACAGTTTCTTTATCTACATCAGATTCTGCCAACGTTTTCACAAATTCCGAAACACTTTGACGAATTTTTGTGTCGAATACGTCAATATCTTTCAAATCTTCATCCATTGTGGCCACACCAAACATCTCCTTTGTGATTGCAAGAGTAGAACATTTTAGCACAAAGTGATTAATCCAGTTTATCACTTTAAACTTTCCACCTCCTAGAACAATTTCTTGTTTTGCTAACTTACTGGCAAATTCAATCGCAGATGAAATATTTGACTCAATCTTTTGCGTTTCCTTCTTTACCAACAATTGAACCAAAGAAGGTTCTTTCTTTAAGCAATAATCTTCCACTGATTCCTGCAATTTACCCTCCAGAAATTTAACGGGATTCTCAAAATACGGAACGAACAATTCAAACATACTTTGTTCTCCAAGTTGAATTAAAACACTGGCATGATAAGGACCTTTGCTTTGGAACATGCTCTTTGTTAAAAGTTCACCAGTCACAGCAGGTCCCATGGTCTTGTTAAGCTCTGATTTGATAGGCTCAAGAAGCACATCGACCAGCGAATTAGCAGCCAAAACTTCTTTCTCCATTTCGTTGCAAAGATTAACAAAATATGTTTCAAGCCTTGGTCTCAAGTTTAGTTCGAGGTCACGCCTGATATCTCGTTCTTCACAATAGCGCTGTTCCATTTCATCAAAAATTTTAACAGTGAGTGCAAAGGTGTAAATTAAAATATCACAAATCAATTCTTTCTTAAATTTAAAGCGTTCGTTTTCTGCTGCTTTTTCTATAGTAGAGGTTACTTCATGGTACATACGTGTTAGGTGATCACGAGAGTATCTAACAGCAGTTTTCGAAGTATTCTTTGCAAAGACATATCCTTTAGAGACAGCTTCGTCTTTGATATTTTTTGCAAGAACGACGGTTTCATTTTTTCCAAATCCCACCAAACTACCAAACTTCTGTAAAATAGATTGCTGTAGAGAAAGCTTATTCACGTCAATGAAAGGATCAACCCCGTGAAAATTCAAAATATCCCATTTCTTATTGCTAAGTTTTGATACCATATCAACATTAAAAGCGGGATTCGTATCACAAAGCACTTCTACCATTTCACTATTTACGTCTTTTTTTTGTTCTTCGTAAGCAGGAACCTCTTTGATACATTGTTCCCATTCTTGTTGAAATGCTGCCTTGCACTTTTCCATATCATCTGTATTCTGACCAGACGTAATAAAAGCTCTGGCTCTTTGAAGAAGCTGTTTTTCGTATTTTAGTTTCTTCTCTTCGACTTCTTGTCGCTGCTGCAAATGATTAAAAGTGGCCTCGCAACTTTTCATTACAGTCATTTGATGATTTTCTTTATACTGCAAAATTCTGTTCATTATGTTTTCCTTCCATTGTTCAAGGGTTGAGCTATCTTCACTGCTTTCAAAAAAGCTCTTCATAGAATTTTCCATTTTCTTCTTGAGGTCTTCTGCCTCTTTCCGAATATTTAGTTTGCTTTGTATCCATTGTTCATAACGTTCCTCTCGCGTTGTGCATCTCTTCAAGTCTACTTGTACTTTTCTTTCAACTTCAGCCATTCCGTTTACCAAATTTTTAACATATTCCTCAAAATACTTTTTGTCTAAAGATGTAAAAGCTCTAACTTCAATTACATTTCGGAAACTAAAAATGAAATTTTCCTTCAGCATAGCTTTCCAGAGCATGTTTACCCTTTCACGGAATACAGAAATATTGTTTCTACTTACTACCTTCGAGCACATTAAATGAATTATATTATCTTTCACTTCTTGAACAGCTCTACCATAATTTGGGTTAATTGGAGCCATGGGAGGGCTTCCTTTCAAAAGACTTGGGATGTAAAAGACGTCTTCGTTTTCGTCAAATGCAATGATATCATCTAATTTTTGAAACTCTTCTTCGCAGTTCTCGTGTTTAGCAGCAAGCTTCGCCATTTTGTCCAAATCTTGTTTCAAGTTGTGCCGATCTGTTATAAGCTTATCTTCAGCGTCTGTTGCAGCAACATTTTGATGGACGATTTTACAAGTCTTCTTCTCCTTCACAAGTTTCATTTTCAGAAAAGCATGAACAGCCATTTGCAAAAACTCTTTCATTTCATTGTGGTTTTCCCCAAAGATATTGACAATCGTGACATCAGCCACACCAATAGCAAATGTTGCCAATTCATTATCGTGTTCTCTCAATTTTGGATCAACCAATCCTCTCAAACCTTCTGTGTCAATGATTAATATATAATCAAAATTTGACTCGGATCTGACTTGTTCACTAACTGGAATAAGACTAGCAAAAGCACCACAAGTACATCTTCCTGCACTAGCAGGAAATTCCAAGCCAAACATTGTATTCAACATTGTCGATTTACCGGAACTTTGAATACCTAACACAGAAATTACGTAAATTCGAGCGTTTTTTGTTTTGCGTTCCAACTTTTTAAAAACAGCATTAAACCATTTCATTGGTATGTAACCTGAATCACCATCCAGTAATTCCAAGGGATGACCAGATAGAAGAATCTCTGCTGCAGCACCAGCATAATCAATCGTTACAACATTCGGCAGTTGATAAAGTTGAGAAAGTTCTCTAATGATATGCTCCAAACCAAACGAAGATCTTGATATTGATGCTTCCAATTCCTTTAAATGCTTTTCTTCCTGAGATGGTACCTCTGGGTCAAAATCAAAATTTTTCTTTCTTTTTCGAAAGGAAAGTGAAGCCTGGCGATATTGTTGATGCAACTTTGTCATTACAGAAAGCGACGTCTTATCTAACGAATGCTTTACTCGATACAAATTTCTATTTCGTTCAGCTTCATCCAATACAGTAATCCAATTAAGAAAATGAACGACGTCGTCATCCATTCTCTCAAAAGACCACATTTGAGCATCTCTTTCTTTTTCAATTTCTTTATATAATTCATCGGCTTCGTTTTGCCGAGTCGTATTTTCATTGCTACGACGAACTTTTGGATTAAGTTTCTTCCTTTCTAAGTCAGCAAAAACTGGTATATGACTTTGTAGCTTAAACAAGTTTTTTGCTTTGTTATACCCCGAAGTTAGCCATGTTTCCACAGTTTTTCCTAAGTCGACATAAGGCTTGTCGTCATCAAAACAAGCGCCACTTTCTTTTGACCATTCTCTGAGTTCTACTAAAGACTTTACTTCATCCTTTTTTATATTGCGCATAATAGCCTGGTGAATACTTTGAAGAAAATTATATTCGTTTGGCTTTTGTGCTTTTGTGAAAAATGATAATTTTGTAGAATGTTGATTTTTCAAACCGTTGTAGAATTTCCTTTCTTCTTCTCGCCTTTTTTCGTTGAAAATGAGAATGTTTTTGCCATTGAGCAGCAGAGCATCATTCAAGAAGTTTTTCATGTGTTCGTCAGGCATTTCTGAGGGCAATAAAATACACAAGACGTTTGATAAATTTTTAAGTATATTAACTTGCTTCTTAAAATTTTGGGCATCTCCACGAAGATTGGCAAAACAGATTTCATTTTTTAACGCGTTCTTGTCACATCCACCAGGAAGATACCACACAAGTTCAACCAAACCATCAACGACTTTCCTTTTAACATCACCACCTTTGATGTTTTTATGAAAAAAGAATTCGTGATCACCATTACCATCACTGATAATCTTGTTCATCAGAGACGATTTAGACATGGTCACATTACCCACCCGGATAAATGACACTATAGGAAATGGATGTTCTGTTGCGTAGACCTCTTTCGCAGTGTTGTCCGATGAAGAACCTTTCCAAGACTTTGTTATTGTTTCTAACGCTGAAAGTAAGATTGTTACGCTTTCTGTCGGCATGTCAGGATGAGGTAAAATGAAAGGAACGCTGAGTTGACATGCACTAAGTTTAACTGCTATATCTCGTCGTAAGAAATCATCCGAACAATGAAAAATCCCTAACAATGCATCCATAGGGTTAACCCCTTCAACACTTTCACTTTTTAATTTATCTGAATTCATCTCATTCTCTTTACCATCGTCATCACTATCACTATCAGAACCATATTCATCATTTAATGTATTGCAAACTTTACCAGGCTGGTTTGAATTTAATGGTTTCAATGTGAACTCACGTGCATGGTAGTCAGCAATCATTAGCGTTTTAAGAATATAATTTGGAATTTGATCATGGGAATTCAGTCTGTCGTCAGTAAACGTTTGATTGTCGACAGTGCGTGCGTGTTTCAACGTAAGTTTTGACTCCGGCAAGAATTTTAATTTATTGAAATGTGATAACGTTAGACTTCTGATTCTACCAAAGCCATTTTTGAACTCGTCTGCATTTTCTCTAAATATCCCATATTTTTCAGAATCTAGAAAAAGAATCATTTCGTAGTCTTGCGTTATTTGTATTTACTTGCAAAAGCAAGGCATCGTACCATCCTCAAAATGAACTAAAACCTGACTCTAAGTCGTTATTATTGTCACGCACAATTAAAACACACTAAAATAAACTTACTTTGATAACAGATAGACAGTTAATGATAATTTTAATTTATTAACGCACAAATTTACCTGAGTGTATCTAACTGTCGCGGGTAGCGGGTAAAATGTCGCGGGTCTAAAAAACACATTTTTCGCATGGAAAAATTTGAAAGAAGTCGATGTTAAATTCTCAGGAATTCTTTATTTTTATTTATACACTTGAATGTGCTCTATGAATCAAAGCTCTCTGCTGTCAACACTAAAATATGTCACTGGTGCTTTAGATATTTAAGATTTGTGTTTGTTATACCTATCCAAATATACAAAGCGATGAGTTGTTAATAAGAGGAATTATTATTAGTTTTGAGGGCCGTTAAAATTCTCTTACAATTGAAATTATAAAACCCAGTTCATAAATTATAAGATATGGTTTACTTATATATATATAAATTGCACTTTCACACGACTATAAATTTGCTTTTCTCAAGTAACTAAGTTCTTCATTACCATTAAAAGAGTTATATCCAAGTAAATCTTGAATGGTTAGTGATGCTTGGAATGAAAAGCTAACTATGTTTTCGATAGTGATTAGTGGATATAACGTATGTATATTAATATTATATTTGGATACATAGAACAAAGACACATTGCCTATGAATCAGGATTTTACCCAACGCTTATGAGGTTTTAGCGTTATATAAGTCTTTCGTATGAGCTCCGAACGTGAGTTCAATGCACTAGAAAGCTATTAAATTTTGTGATTATTTTATTCACTAGCGAAGAATTTATTTACAAAAGTCGTGAGTATTCTCTATGTTACAATTTTTTTACAGGCTTTTTATATATTTGGCTAAACAAGGAGCAGTTATTACAAGACGGATAATGTACTTGAAATTTGAGTAGTTATACGTAATTACAAAGTTAAGTGCGTAAGTTTAAGTAGCGCGTTTAAATAAGAGTAGGATTGGCTATTTCCTCTATTGCTAATACATAAATCTAGATGAATAATATACGCACATTATCTACGTCACTACAGGAGCCCCCGGCTAGTGTCAATATTAATGAAATTAATGAGAAACGATAGAAATATAGCGTTGAGGTAAACTGACACAGCGACCAGATCGTGTTTTTTTATTTGTGGTGCTGTAGTTTTACAGTTCTCTATGTCTTTTTTGCAGCTTCTTCCGTATGGGTGTGTCCTGGGGCACTGGGCGTAGGAGTAGCGAGATGTGCAGGCTTGAGACGATCTATGGATATGTTATCGGTGCGATTTCCGAGATCAACAAATGTTTGTCTGAGCGGTAGAGAATTTTGAATGGACCGTCGGTAAGGTGGCTGTAAAGGTTTTCGGACTGCATCGCGTCGGACAAACACCTGTGTTGTGGTGTGAAGATCGCTCGGAATGTGATGAGGTATTGTTGGATGACGATCCGGAGGTGGTTGTAAATCGCAGAGAATGCGTTTAAGACGGTCAACGTAGGAGTTAGGATCAAGGAGTGAGGTACGAGAATTATGGTGGAAAAATTCACCTGGTAAACAAATAGTTGTGCCGTATACGCGTTCAGCAACACTGTGTCCAAGATCAGTTTTTAGAGGGGTGCGAATGCCAAGGAGGACAATAGGTAGACGTTTACTCCAGTGCTTTTCAATGAAGCTTTGAGTTGACGATGAAAGCGTTCAACCAGACCATTAGCGATGAGGTGATAAGCGGTGGTGCGTATACGTGTAGACCCAAGACGTGAGAGAAGAGAACAGTTGGCTTTCAAATTGTGCACCTCGATCGGTGGTGATAATTTTAGGAACACCAAAACGGGAGATCCAGTGGGTGACAAAAGCTGTGGCGACAGTGGTGGCGGTGATGTCAGAAATGGGAATGGCTTCAGGCCAACGAGTGAAACGGTCAATGCATGTAAGTAGATAAGTAGAACCATTTGATGGCAGCAGGGGACCAACTATGTCGAGATGAACATGGGAAAAACGGTCAGTAGGTATTGCAAAAGTGGAAAGTGGGGCACAGGTGTGCCGATGGATCTTGCTGCGTTGATAAGACAGACAAGTTCGGGTCATTTGCCGTACATCACGGTTCATGTTGGGCCAGAAATACCGATCGGTGATCAAGCGTTGAGTGGCTTTTATTCCTGGATGAGAAAGGTTGTGAAAGGCATTAAATATGGTTTGTCGGAACGGCGAAGGAATAAAAGGGCGTGGCCTGCCAGTGGAAACTTCACAAATGATAGTCTTGTCGGAAGCGGGTATCGGACAAGTTTCGAATACCAACGAAGAAGAAGTTTTGCTTCGATACTGTGTAAGCTCAGCATCGTCTTGTTGAGCCACGGCTATATCTTCTATGTAGATCTGGTCAGAAGAAGTGACAGAGGAAACGCGGGAAAGGGCATCGGCCACCGGATTCTGCTCACCTTGGACATGACGGAGGTATGTGGTAAATTGGGAGATGAAATCGAGGTGACGAATTTCTTTGGGAGAGTTAGTTTGGTATTGTTATGCAAGGCATAGCACAGAGGTTTGTGATCAGTGAGAACATAAAAAGGTCGTCCTTCAAGGTGGTGACAAAAATGGCGTATGGCGAGATAGATGGCAAGAAGCTCTCGACCAAAAGCACTGTAGCGAGTTTCTGCTGGTTGTAAGCGTTTAGAAAAGAAGCCGAGTGGTTGCCACATGTTGTTCACTTTTTGTCGTAGAACAGCGCCTACAGCGACGTCTGAAGCATCGGTCATAAGGAAAAGTGCGGCGTTGGATTGTGGATGAGCCAAGAGTGCCGTACCTGCCAATGCTGTTTTGATCTTCTTGAATGCTGATGTAGCAGAATCAGACCAGTCAAGCTTGGAAGGTTGGGATACCTTAGGAGAATCCGATGTGCCAAGCATGTCGGTGAGAAGCTGAACAATACCAGAGCAGTGCGGAATAAAACGTCGGTAGAAATTTACGTGACCTAGAAATTCGCGGAGCTTGCGGAGAGAGTCCGGTTGAGGATAATTGCGGATAGCTTCTACTTTTGAGAGAAGAGGTTGGATGCCGTTAGCACTAACCATGTGACCAAGAAATTCAAGAGATGTTGCTCCAAAAACAGATTTTTGAGGATTGATGATAACACCATACTGACGAAGACGAGTAAAGAGAAGGCGGAGGTGTTTTTCGTGTTCGGAGGTGTTAGAGGTAGCAATTAGTATGTCATCAATGTAGACAAATACAAAGTCAAGGCCACGAGTGGCTTCGTCCATGAAACGTTGAAATGTTTGAGCTGCATTACGGAGACCAAAAGGCATATGGGTAAATTCGAAAAGACCAAATGGTATCGTCACAGCTGTTTTGCAGATGTCTTCTTTTGCGGACGTCAGCAATGGTGAAGATCAATTGAAAATGGCGTCGGCGGAATCCAAAATTGAGGGTGATTGACCTCTTGCCGTAGGTAGCAATTGTAGAGGAATTGGCTGCCTGAAGGTCATAAGCTTGGCGTTGTCGTCGATCTGCGGAAAGGGGTGGGATGACGCTTACTTCGGCACCTGTATCGATGAGAAATCGTCGTTTGGTGGTCTGATCAGTAATGAAGAATAAGCGGCTTTGTGTTGAAGCGCCAGACGATGCTGCCGCGTCTATTGTCTGGCGTTGTAGTTTGACGGTAGCGATGTATGGAAATGTACAAGGTTGAATACATTTGTGGGCAGTGGCGCCGAATTTGGAGTGATACCAGGAATAACCATTATTGGATGGTCTGTGAGTGGGATCATTCGGTTGCCGATTACGAGAGCGAGGTGGACGGTTATTGACATCGGACGATAAAAGGAAACGAAGATTGAGAGCCTGTACTCATGATCAGAAACGGTCTTGCGAAGTTGATGAAGCTCTCCAGATTTGGCAGATGTGTCAACAATAGGTCTTTTGTAACGGTCGAAAGGGGGGTGTGGGTTGTTCAATGTTGTTGACTTCTCTAATTTTATCGGCTACCTTGGCAAGGTTGTTGAGGGCAAAAGTCTCCTGTGTAGGTGCCAGAATAGCCTGCACATTGGTAGGGAGACGTTGTATAAATAATTGTTTCATGATGGATGAGAGCAATGTCTAGGTACCAAGTAGTTGTTCCATCTTGCGAAGGAGTTGGGAAGGTTTCCGATCTCCTAGTTCTTCGCATGTAAGCAGTTAGTGAAGTCTCTGTTGCTCAGATGGTGAGGTACGGTGGAATAACTCGCGTCGCAGGGGTCATATGGATCAAGAGCAGGGGTATGAAGGATGATATCGCGAGCCTCCTGAGCGATTTCAGGTTGAAGGCAACCAACAACGTAAGAGTATTTTGTTTTTTGTGAGGTGATATTGCGCGTCGTAAATTGAGCGTCAATTTGAGAAAACCACAAATGGGTCGTTAGGCCAGTATGGTGGAAGTTTGATGCTAATCATAGAAGCGGTTGGTGTGACAGATGAAGAATCTGTCGTGGAAGAGGTGTTGAGTTCATCAGTTGTAGCCATTTCGCCAGTCAAGAATATCGTTCGGGGTCACCAATTTAGCGTTATATAAGTCTTTCGTATGAGCTCCGAACGTGAGTTCAATGCACTAGAACGCTATTAAATTTTGTGATTATTTTATTCACTAGCGAAGAATTTATTTACAAAAGTCGTGAGTATTCTCTATGTTACAATTTTTTTACAGGCTTTTTATATATTTGGCTAAACAAGATGCAATTATTACATAACGGATAATGTACTTGAAAATTGAGTAGTTTACGTAATTACAAAGTTAAGTGCGTAAGTTTAAGTAGCGCGTTTAAGTAAGTGTAGGATTGGCTATTTCCTCTTTTGCTAATACATAAAACTAGATTAATAATATACGCACGTTATCTACGTCACTCACTACAAGGTATTTCTATTGACAACAGAGAATGTGTATCTTACAGACCCTGGCTCTAAATGTAGTACAGTCATAACAATTATCAGCCAATAATTCAAGATTTATTTGGATACAACTCCTGTAATGGATATAAAACATGTTATTGCTAAGTAAAAGAACCTTACCAATTGTGCGCGAGGAAAAGTGGAAGCCGCAGTTTTACTTATATAATCAACCCATAGCTTATGAATTATGATCCTAAACGAAATGTGTTTACAAATTGAAGTGGATGTACGGAGTTTTCAACGGCTATGTCCCCAACCCCAAACCTTGCAGTCTCTAATTATAGAATTTCCATACTGGGTACATTGGGTGTATCATAAGTATAAAAAGACATTAAAACATGTCACCAGTGCTTTGGTTTGTGTAAATGTGTTTGTTATAACTATCATACATGTGTTGGATTTAAACTTTAAACTACTTTATTGCTCTAATCGTGCATACAGTTGTGCACTTACCAACAGTCAACAAGTCAAGGAATTACTCGTGTGCAACTAGACATGTTGTTAACATGACACTAAGAAGATATTGAATAGCATTGCTAAATGTAATAATTTGCATGCATTGGAAATTGAATTACTTATAGTTATAAGGGAAACGCAACTTTCCAATAGTCGAAAAGTGTGAGTTAAACTTATGATACACACAATGTACACAGTATGTAAATTTTATAATTAGAGACTGCAAGGTTTGGGGTTGGGGACATTACCGTTGAAAACTCCGTACATCCACTTCAAGTTGCAAACACATTTCGTTTAGGATCATAATTCAAAAGCTATGGATAGATTATATAAGTTAAACCGGTTTCCACTTTTCCTTGCGCACGATTGGTAAGTTTCTTTTATTTAGCAATAATATGTTTTATATCCATTGCGTGAGTTGTAACCAAATAAATCTTGAATTAATGGCTGATATTTGTTATGACTGTACTACACTTAGAGTCTATAAGATACACTTTCTCTGTTGTCAATAGAAATACCTCATAATCGTTGCGTAAAATCCTGATTTATTGGCAATGTGCCTTTGTTCTATGTATCCAAATATAATACTTATATACATACGTTATATCCACAAATCACTATCAAAAACATAGCTTTTCATTCCAAGCATCACTAACCATTCAAGATTTACTTGGATACAACTCTTTCAATGGTAATGAAGCACTTCGTTGCTTGAGAAAAGCAAATTTATAAGCGTGAGAAAGTGCAAGTTACAATATAAATAAACCATATCTTATAATTTATGAACTGGGTTTTACAACTTCAATTGTAAAAGAATTTAACGACCCTCAAAACTAATAATAATTCCTCTTTTATTAACAATGCATCGTTTTGTATATTTGGATAGGTATGACAAACATAAATCTTAAATATCCAAAGCACCAGTGACATATTTTAACGTTGACAGTAGAGAGCGTTGACTCATAGAGCACATTCAAGTGGGCATACATAGGAATAAAGAATTCCTGAAAATTTAACATCGACATCTTTCAAACTTCCATGCAAAAAAGTGTTTTTTAGACCCGCAATTTTACCCGCGACACGCGACATTTTACCCGCGACACGCGACTTTTTGCCCGCGACAGTTAGATACGCTCAATTTACCTTTGCCATATTCTTTGTAGTTATCCACATTTTCCTCTTTGATGCTACTATTTGCGACATTATTTTCCTCATTATCTCCTAACTTTCCCTTTTGTTCATTGATGTCATTTGATGGGTTGTTTTTACTCATGGCTTCGCCTATATTGTTGTCGAATACAAGCAAGATTTGTGAGCAATTTATTGTCGCTTCAAATATATTCATTATGTATAAGCAACCAGCAATATAAGGAGCTCATATTGAAATCAAATAGTTAGCTAACATTGCTCTTTTTTAGCCATATAAAGTTATACCAAAAAAAATTAAGTATTACGAGCATTATTTTTTACATGGTACTTGAATGAGTCGATAACCTTAAACGATATAGAAGTAGCTATTAACATTTACCTCTTAATATTTTTTTAACACATCTTTTTCATTAAAATAAGCGTCCAACGCGGCGCTTTTTTTCAAAAAAATTCACTAGCGATACACTGATGTTTGAAATTGACGATAATAACGATATTACGAATGTGCAATGAAGGACAAAGAATTAATGTTTCACTACCATTATTATCAGGGCGCCAAAAAGTTAAGACAAAAAGGCAATTGACAAAATATTTTCTATACGTTCAAGACTATGATCTTCATATTGAACAGTTACAAAATTAAAGTGAGCGTAAAGCCCCGAGCCCCCCGAGCATTTTGACTCAACATGCGCTTGATACGAGACGAGTCAAGTTCAGACCAATGGCACACCTTAGTAAGGAGTGGTGAGCGGTATTGAGCGGTGTTAAGAAAAAGTTTCAACTTGCTCAAACTTTTCACTCAATAGCGCTCAATATTTTTTTTGAAACAGAGACTTTGTCGTGGTGACAAACTTAAAGATGGATTTCAAAATAGCAAATACCATGGTGAATGGTGATAAGAACAATGTAATAGTCTTAAAAGAACTGTTTTAACCAGAACACTAACCCAACAATTCAAAGGAACCGTTATTTACAGCTAGAAAGAGACACTATGCATTTCGGCAGACTACTCGTCAGGTGTCAACGTCTGCTAAATGAGAACCTCCTTATAAATATAGCATGGTTTGGAGGTTCTCATTTAGCAGAACTTTGACAATATCATAGTCTCTCTTTCTAATAATAACTTCATTCATTGTGTTAGTGGTCTGGTTAAAACAGTTCTTTTAAGAACTATTACATTGTTCTTATCACCATTCACCATGGTATTTGCTATTTTGAAATCCATCTTTAAATATTTTTTTTGTTCGCAGTCCTTGATGCATGCCTCAACACTGTCTAGTCAACTTCAGTGCGTTTATTAAACAGCACACTCAACAAAGTTGAGCTAACGCATGCGCACGGTGCATGATCAATAATAGTGACGCGTTTGATCTTTTTGCTGAACTCGATAAATTGAATATACAAAGCAGTATATAAACAGTTGCTCAGTATCGTGGAATATTTTATTCCATGACCCTATGCATTATCACTTTAAGCCTAAACATGTTGAAAGCGTTTTCACACATTGCTTAACATCACACTACAAGCACAAGACAATTGTTCAGCGTATGTTGAGAAAACTTGTTAAAACCGTTCCACGGGGCTATTGGTAATGTAACTTATGTAAGTGCCATCTGCCGTTTACCATGGGTGAAGAAAAATACTGACCTCAATCGCAAAGTACATCACAAAAATTTAGCAGTGCGTTTGAGTCTACAATGTTGGTCTATATCAACAAGGACTAAACACACAAAGGCTAGAGCATTAGTAGTCTGAATACGATTACGAAAGTAATAAACGAAGCATTAATAGATACACTACTATAATCATTCACTTAAGTCAACAAAATAAGCATTGAAGCTGCCCACGTATCTATAATCGACATATAGGCATAAAGACATAAATTGTGGTAGCAATAAAACGCTAATAAACATACCTGATTGCTGCTTCGATTCTAGATAAAAAATACGTGTTTGTTTTGCTAGTTGATGTAAAAAAACGATAGAAAACAGCTAAAGCAGTGTAAGACTGTTTCCGCGTAAGAAACTGCTTCATTAAACAATTACCAATTCTTGGAAGAATATGAACAATTATGAGACTGAGATCACATGACCGGAAATATTGAATAACGATCAGTTCAAAATCTGCAAACAATACAGTTAAAATCGGCAAACGATACAGTTAAAAGCGGCTTACAATACAAAATAATTTACTTTGTCTATAATAAACACTCGAACATTACAATGAACTTTATAATTCAGAGAACACTTTCCCAAAAGAATCTGTTTTCATTTATTTTGTAGCTACATTGTAGCTGTTTATCAAGAGTGGCACCTTTGTGCCCCTCTATCTTGGCATATCACTGCATGCCGTATCGTTAAGGAGAAATTCAACATCTTTGAAAGCAATCATAATTTAAAAAAAAAAGATGAAAACAATGTAAACGGATGGTTTAGAAACCCATACATCCTACTAACTATACATAAAAAAAGAAAAAAAATCTCCCTGAGTAATAAGGGATAAAATAAAACAAGTATTATTTTTAATCTGACCATATATAAATTTTGCCACTAGAATTTCCAGCGCCAAGAATGCTCCTTGTCGGATGAAAAACATTTATTGATGTGATTGTGGTGAAGTTTGGATCAAACTTTTCCAACAGTGGGGATGTTTCCATTTGTTCCACATGATAAAATTGAATCTATAAATAGGAAAACATGTATATATGTTTATAAAGTGAACGGTTTGAACTCGGGAGTATCGTTACATGTTTGTGGATGTAGATAGTCAAGGTTAGTAGAACTACCGCTAGGATTGTCGAAACGTCAGTCAACATCAACACCAACAGTCCTTCCCAGGACTATACTAACCTGGACGATCTACATCCACAAACATATGACATATGTTTATCTTATGAAAATTACATCACAATAAAAAATATTGGGAATTCATAGTTTGACGACTGACTGCATTACGAACGTGTTTACTATAGCCAAACATCAAAGTATAGCGGTTTAAAGAAGTATGTGAACGAGGCATAACGAGCACTGAAAAAGATCTGTTATTTAAAGAAAAAGACGACGTGTTTGCTATAGAAAGCAGTTTTGGTGTTTAAAGTCGGTGAAAGAGGAGCAATGAGAACTTGAAGAAAAAAAACGGACTGTTCGCGGATAAATTATTATTTTCAGCATTTTGGTTTTATTAACATTGACAAGGTATTCAATTTATTCAATTATGATATTTTTAATTTACACTTACGCGTCGACTATATAAAAGACTACCAATAACAAATCCACGACTTCTGCGTGGATCCCACGAAGCTTTAAAAGGCGTCAACCAACGATTCGTGTGATTGTAATGTCTAAAATTTGAACAATAATCATTCTTGTTAGCATTTCTACCAACGTCGTATACAATACATTATCTGTCAATGCTTTAAGAGTAGAACGGCTTTATTTGTCATTTTAAAAGTTTTCCTGTTATATGTTTACAATAGACTCTCCAGTCGAACATTCATTAGTTTAATTGATCAATAAAAAAGTAACTTCATGATCTTACTGAAAATTTCGTTTCATTTCAAGTTTCCATGAGGATGTGACTTCCAACACTCTAAATGATGTAAAAATAATATTATTTATTACAAAATTCTACTGAGATCGAACTGTTAAAGCTGGGTTTTAATGCAATCTTCACGTACATTTTTCTGTAGATTTAGAGAATTGTGAAGCCCAATAATAAAAAATCTTAAAACAGCTTCACTATAAGCAATTGACGAATTCAATATAAACATACTTAACAGTATCATCCCAACACGTTGTCAAAATGTACTTTCCATCACCAGGAGAAAAATAAGATGACGATATGGAACGACTGTGCTTTTCAAATGTGTCCAAACTTGATTTGATCCCTTTGAGATTTCGTAAATCCCATAATGCAACAATTCTTTTAAAAGACAAAATGAAAATGTACCTTAACACTATTTCGTTAGCATGGTCAATTATGCACTTTTATGGGACGTAAATCCCATAATGCAACAGTCCTGTTAACAAACAAAATGAAAATGCACCTTAACACTATTTCGTTAGCATTGTCAATAATTTACAGTGTAAAAAAGGAAATGTTCCGAAGGCGCAATGAATTGTTTCCACAAATTTAGACATTGAAGATGGTAAATATGAAGTCTTCAAACTACAGCAATGTACGGCTAGGTACGTAAGGTAATATATAAACATGGCAAGAACTCTATAATTTTGCTTGAGGAAGATTAGTTACTTACGCATCGCTCGACGAAGTGCAGAAGAGATATTCGTTTGAACTGCTTGAATCGATGCACTTGACATTTTTGCCGTGACAGACATGAGTTTTCACCTCATTCCTATCAAGAAAAAGCAGTTCTTATGTTTATAATCCCGTGCTTTATTTAATAAATAAAAGATGTTTACTGTGTTAAGTGTGTTTGCACAGGCTTATGCGAACCGAGGATACCTTTGGGAGAACTCGAGAGCAGATCAGTGCAAGCTCAAGACCGAAGGTCGAGGGCTGTACATGCTCGAGAGTTCTCACAAACGTCTCCTCGGTTTGCATAAGCCTGTGCAAACACAATGAACATCTTTTATTTCTTTTATAAAATAAAATAATGCAAAAAAGACAAACATTTTAAATTTTCTTGTAAAATGTATTCATGATCGATTTGTAAATTCCCTTTGACTGATTGATTGTTTTGATTGATTTGATTGGTTGAGCTCAAATGTGTTTTGCACAGGCTAATGTAAACACGGTTCTAGACCAATCACTGCACGCGTTTTATTGTTTTGATTTTATAATGCAATTTCTTTTTCCCATGCAAGTTCAACTTTACAAAAAAATCGTCTCACGACACAGAAATGCGTGACTATTGAGAATTTGAACTTATCTAACATCAAAAATGAAAGCTATTGTTAACTGTACTTTGTTTCTCTAGTATCCAAAACTCCCACATAGCCAGCGTCGTGTGCTAATAAAAAAATATCCCGCGAGTTGAGAGGACACGAAAAACCGTTAATCATGTGATCATCTGTTGCATAAATCTACATAACGAATTCAATTACGCGTTGAATAAATTGAACACGTTTTATAACTAGTGGCAAAAAATTGCTGATATTGAAGTGCACCAAATATCGTGTGTTCAAACTTACTTCTTCAAAAGTACAACCATTAAAGTCTGCTCGTCTTAAAGAGCCATCGACACTCGAAGAAAAAAGACTATTGTTTCTGAATGGATGAAAATATACTTGTCTAACGTTACCGGCGTGTGGTCGATACATGATGACATCATCATCTTCCTTGCTTGCGTCCTAAATGAAAAAGAAGACTTTTCTATGTACTAACATGTAAAGCTCCAACAAATGAATAAGTTTTGATGTTTCTAGCAAGTGTTGAACATACACAAGACTATAATACGAGCAAAATTCTCAATGGGACAAACTATTATCAGAGACAAGTTTAGCTAGAAAACAACACTTATTTTTGTTACTACTGAAGGCATCAACACGGAGAGCAAAGCAACACCAACCAAATCAAAGAGTCTCACCACATTCCAAATGCCAATGTTTCCAGCATTGTCACCGGCCGCCACAATCGTTTTATCGCAACATGGATGAAACGCCAAGGTCGTTATTCTTTTTGGAACAACTTTTCGTATTCGATCAGACGTCAAAAAAAATTTTGATATTCTCTGCTTGTAACTACACGAATCAAGTAATATCAAGCATCAAAAGTTGACATCATGAAATGTAGTCGCCAATCTATAATCATCGTAGCTTTACGCATGCCACTGTTAAAAATTATGTGTCAGTACCTTTGTGGGGAAGATGCTTCAACTGGAACAACGTTCGTCGTCATCTGCAAGAACGTTAACGGGAATCAAACAGTTGCAGGAAAATTGTATAACTCCGTGTTATTCATAAAATTTGTTTAGTCATCAAATAATCAATGCGATGCCTTTAATAGCAACATTAGCACTATCTATAATGTTCAAAATGTGCCCAGTGGGCGTCGAATCGACACATATTGGCGCACAATTATGTTATTTCAACAATCCCAACCTTAGTTTCGTTGGAAAGCAATTCTAAGGAATTCATGAATTTCTTATTTGCATCGTCTCCAACATCGTTTATTGGGTTTGCATCGACAGGACCCTTTATCCTTTCTTCCTTTTAAATTTAGAAACATAAAACACTTTACTTCAAAATGATATTTAATAACAATTAAGACGTTAAAAAGACGAAAAAAAGAAACAAGTGATCTAAGGATAGTGCATAGTTTCAGAAAATTAAACACTGCTTTTAGTCTAGAAATTTCAATCAACCATAAAATATTTTAAAATTTCTTTTATTTCTTCATTTAATTTTAATTCATGTATCATTGCATAAACAATCATTGACTTTATGGCCAATAAAAACATTTTCAATAAAATCTATGACAAGCTACAGTCTAAATAACCAGTTGTTGTCTTGTGCACGTTTAACATGAAAGCAGTTTCCTCTTTGTCCATGAAGTAATGTTTATGGTTGTGTATTGCTTACTTTGTTTTTACACATGATGGGAGGACGGCAGGGCCATTACTACCATTGCTGTAATGAGTTTGAAAATCCATTTGCTTAAACCAGCCAATAATATATGGCAGAGAACTTGCGTAGTCAACTTGAGCGACTGATGGAGGTCAAATCCAAGGGCCGCAGAACATTGATACTGAGGGGGGGCTATTATTCACATATGCATGTTTTACAATTGAAATCACTTGTGTTTACGGATGATACTAAATGAATATAAGAATATAGCCCTCCCCCCCCCAATTATCAATGTTCTGTAAAAATCATCTACATCTGCCACTGTAAAAATGATCTACATCTCCTTGCACTAGCTTGCTGAATCACATTTATCAAAAAGTAAATTATTCTCACAAGTCACATAAATTGCATTACACCCTCCCTGTCCCATATGAAGTTTAAACCATGTATGATTTTATTTAATTTTAGCAGCTCATTAAAAAACTGCACTAAAATAGAATGTGGGAGATCAAGGCTATCTAAGATGTATGGAAGCAAAAGAAATGCATGCATTGCCTTACATCAGCTGGATAAATTCTTAAGTCTGGCAGAGTAATCATTTCAAATTGATTCGAGGCTCGTTCTTTACTGATCCTGGGGGAACGCCGTACTGGTTCCACAACCTTTTTCTTCATAACAGGCCTGAAAGTAAGATAAAAACAAATATAAATAACTATATCACTGTCAATGATGTTGAAATAAATAACAAAATTGATGTATTCAAAACTGTAAAGTAATAAAATCCTTGGGATACACATGTACAATAATGGACATAAGCAATCATTACATATAATCTGACAATACATAACACAGGTTAGATGGTGCTCTCACAATATTTTCCAGTGAGTCAAATTCAGATTTAAATATGATACAGTTACCAGAAAAATCTTGATGAAAATATATATAAAACAATCATATATAATCAATGCAAGGGCAACAGCCAAAAAGAGGTGCACCCAAGAAAACAACATTACCTCTTTAACTTTGTTGGCTGTTTACGAGCCCTCAGATGGCTGATTTCCTAAAACATATCATTTATGCACCATAAAGTTAAGTTAAGTGGCGGTATTAAGAGCATTCATTTTATCTGTAAGTTCTAGATAAGTCCGAAACAGCTACATATGGAGAACAATGTCTAGTCACATAGTACTTTTCAACACTTGGAGATAACTAGGAATGATGTCATGTAAAAATAGTAAATGAAAACAATTTTACTTTCCATCAACTGTTTAAAACTACTACATATTTATGCGGTAGATAGCCCATGTTACAATGTAATTTTAATATATCTTATTCTGGATACTGCAAAGAACAACATTTAAGGCTATATTGGTTGGAAATATTTTTACACTATATTTAATGTTGTTAAAATGATGTTCCGTCCATCAAGACCCTTTCCTTTTAGAACTCCCATTCTCCTTATAAAAACATGAACTATAATCCAGCAAAAGTACTAACACAGAGTTACAACTGACCTCGTTAATTTTCAATGAATCCAATAACTCTTTGTTCTTTCTAATGTTGGCAAGTCTCTGTTTCTCGTACTCTGACATTTCATGCACGTCATTGTCGTCAGATTGATCTTCACTCTGCAAAATCATAAAATGGAACAGAGTGAAAAACCTGATACATCACTTGTGTTGTCTTTTATCAAAAAAAATTTTTCTTTACACTGCTTGAACTTTCACAATTTTCTTCATATTGAGTGTTATCATTGTCTTCATTATCATCAATTTCATCTGAGCTGATATCTTTGGGTTCAGCATAGTTCACTTCAAGCTTCAATAATTTCCTTTGTTGTAGCTGAAAGAGACACCCTAATTTGATGCACTGATATTTTGCACGAATATATAGGTTATATAGTTGAGGATTTTAATTCTACATCCTACACGACAGAGCAGAGAACCCCAAGCTATTTTATTTGCATGTTAGTATAGTAATTACACCTCGAATGTAAATAAATGAAATATGAAGTAAAAACAGTAAACTATGAAACTTCAACAGTTAAACTAACGGCTTTTCATGGTCCTGGTTGCCATCATTTCAATTTGTCTAACTAATATGTGCAGCCGACACAACATTTCGAATGGTAGTCAAAGCAAGGCATATTTGATATAATATTCATGGCTTTTTTCTGTAAGACATACCCTCGTGGAAGTTCTTCGCTTCATTTTAAGTCTCTTCGATGCTCGACATCGTAGTAAAAATAAGGACGACTAGGAATAGCGCGCCATAATTACAGTCTTCCCGCCACTTGTTGTGTAGGAAAGCAAAACTGCAAACAACTTAGTAAAGGGTCAGCGGTTTCTTTTTGCTTGACATTAGTTGACTTTTTAAAGAAAACTCCTAAAAGATGTAACAATAGGAAACCAAAAATGACGAAATGCGTTTACCTGAATCATAACCTATTGGCAAAAATTAGAGGAAAATAGCAAATAATAAGCCTAAATATATATATTTACTGAGCTAAACGAAAATTATTCACATTTTTATCTACAAGTGAAAGAACATAAAATAATCCTTCTACAATCTCACGGAGAATTCGCCACATTCTCGGTTGGTCCTTGTTTTATCCCTCATCAATAGCATTCCTTAGAGTACTCTTCTCCCAATACTCCATCTGTATCTACCAACTTTGGAGAGTCCACTATGAATTTTCTTGCAAATCTCTAGTGGTGACTGCTTCCTCTTCACTTTTGAAATCATATTCCTCGTCCTAAAGGAAAGACGCTGGTAGTTATTTTTACATATCTTCAGCAACATCTTGAACAGTTCGTGTTTTCCATTGGTCAGCGAGTCCTCATCTAAAACTCTAGAGCGTACCCTATGTGCTTCAATTACGTACAACTACGTTCAACTTCATCAAGCTATCTTCAATCTGGCGTCGTTGTTTCTCCTCTGTCATGCTTGATTTTGTTTCAATGTTGGAAGTTTCATTTTCAAGTATTTCTTCTACCTCAATCTACGAATTATGATATGTCATAAATATTAGAGCATTGTTTATGCACAAAATATGCAGATACAAAGTTATGCAGAAAAACAAAAACATCTCTAACATGGTCACAGATATTACGAGTGGCTTGACAAAGTCTTGATGAGCTTGATATTCATTTGTCAAAACAAGCTTAAGAGACAAAAAGAATGACAAATACATATGATTGAAAATTTGCTAAGGGCATATACACAAGCAGTAAATTCGGCGCTCGCTCCGTCACAAAGTAATTGAGAATCAATCTGAGAATGCCTAATCAACTCCACCTAATCTCCAAGTTTACGACCAAATGTATGTACTAGTACCGATTATGGAGTAATTAGCTCGCTCAGTCACAAATTTTCAGATAAATCATTTGCGCATGCGCAATATGCTCGAGCATGCGCAGTTGACTGGACCAACTGTCAAAGTTCATGGTCATGGCAACGACAAACTGCATCTATTGGCACCGATTTTAAAGTAAATAGCATGTTTAATAACAATTTATTAGAGAAATCATCTGCGCATGCGCACGAGCATGCGCAGTCTATTCGACTAATTGTTCAGAGTCATGGCAACGACTAACTATATGTACTTGCACTACATTTGTGGCAATTAGATAACTTAGTCGCAAATTATCAAAGAAATAATCTGAGCATGCGCAGTAGTGACTTAAATAATACAACAACTTTCGTAAGCCTTTGAATTTTTGTATATAAATATAAAGCTAAATATATGGATAGTAGATGTCAACTAGCAGTGGAAGCCGGGTGCGATATGTATGCAGTGGCTTAGGGGCCCAGACGTTTCGGGTCGCGACCGCACTCTCCCTGCGTACCCCGAGCAAAGCCTATCGCAGGTGATCTCGGGGTCTGATGGGCGGAAGCTTGCTATTGCATCTCCCAAGTAGGATAGCGTGGAGGGGCCGAAATCTCCTACCGAAACGTTAACATGCGGCGTTCTAGTGCCTCGGCTTAAGAAGGTATCGGGAAGCATGGCCCGAAAACGGGGTTTTTTGCTTTCGAATTTTATCTTTTTGTTCGCATAAAATAAACCAAGCAATGCTTCAAATTAAATTCTTCTGAAACTGTCCCTTTTGATGACACTTAAAATTCAAGATAACTTTAAAAATGTTTTATATAATTTTTATTGGTTTATATCTTTCTGACTTAATTCTCTCATTTACTGTTTCTCATGTATCACGAGCAAACCATCCATGGACTTCATGGCAAACAAGATTATCTGCTTCCCTTAACTAACATGCGACGCTCTAGCGCTAAACTATCTCGGGGTATCGGGAGGCATGGATCGAACACAGGATTTTTTGTTTTCAAAATTTGTCTTTTTTCTTTACAAGAATTCTTCTCATAAAAGGAACTTCAACATCCAAGGATACTGCAAAGGTTCAAACAATTTCTGCCTTTTTTGACTTATAATTTAAACCAACTCTTAAGCATGTTTATACGTTTTTTACAAAGGATACAGCAAAGAAATTTGGCAAGAAGAAAAATTCAATGTTTCCAGGTTGAATGTCCGACAAATTGTTCACGACATGCATAATGTGTCCAGATCCGCCACACCACAATTATTAACAATTCTATATCGAATCACAAAGGGACACAACATACACTTGTGACAACTCGAACAGATACCACACTTCATCCTTTTTGCCAAGCGTCTGATTTTGAAAAAGAGTCAAATCAAAACGATAAAAATTCAACTCATACTCGTTTCTCCCACTGATTCTTTGTCATTATCATTTCTCTGTATTGTCTAAGGAAAGTGATTTCTTCTTCTAAAGTCACATCTAAATGAGCCTCGTCGCTTTCAACATCGAATGCAGAAGTGATTTCTTTCAATGCATTCTGAACTACTTCTGGGTCATCACTGTCCGAGTCTGAATTTTCTCCTCCTCTTTGGTCAGCTATGAGAAATTTACAATGAAATCGCAATCATTGAAGTGCTTGGAGTTTCACAACGATGCAAAAGAAAAGATAATTGTGTCATTACGTTGTAATGTAAACAGGATTTTCAAAAATACTAAACGTAATATTTAGTTGAATCCGTAAATGTGAAAAATGAAAACTCGCACACAAAATCATTAACGTAATTACAGTAACTGCACCAGCAAAAGTGTTCAAACCACGAATTCATCTCAAATGAGGGGAAAGATAATCTCCACAATTAAGAAATGAAAAAGACTTTTAAATAAGTTTATGCGTTCAACTATATCCAACATGCATGGAGAATGTTAAAAAAAATTTCCCTGCTGATGAATAGAAGCGGCACAAAAACTTTAAAAAATAAAAGCGAAGGTAATAATGGGAAATAATAGTTCTATATAAACAATTAAGTGTATTCGCCATTCCTAAATCTGCGACAATTAGAGTTCTATATAATCAATTATAGTTCTATATAAACATTTAAGTGTGTATGCCATACCTAAATCTGGGACAATTCCATCTTTCATGATCGTGTTTTTACATTCGGGAGGAAGTTCACCGGAAGTTTCTAATAATCGCCCTATTGTTTTGCTTATATCGCCATAATGTTTCAAGACTGAACGCGAAACGTCGACGTTGAATCCCATGGAAGTCACCTGGAGGGGAGAAATTACCAAAAATATAAATAAACGATGTATTATCAATGTTTGTACAAGAAAAACAATATAAATAAGATATGTACATTGCCACAGATCATACCTGCGCAATCAACTCATCAGATATTTCCAAACTGCAGAAAATAACGATTCGATCATCAAATATTTTGTTCCCGTAAATTAAAAGATCAACGCTAACTATCAACTGACCTTGGTCTTCTCTCGGAAACTGCTCGCTCCAACAATTCAGGTCTTTCGATAAGAATCTAACCACAATACGAAAATTGAAACTCTTATCACACGTATTGAAAGCATAGCAAACGACATGAATAAAGCTGTTAAACTGCATGATACATCAATAGATCGGGTTTTTGGGACGCACAATAAAATGTGAGAATTATTTTTCAATTGAGAATTCTACATGAACTATACATGCCAATACACCGAGCCATTAGATAAACACCGATCAAGGTAATATAGTTATATACACCTGAATGGCTGTATCCATGTCGTTATTTGTTTGACGTAAAGCCTCGCTAGCGTACTCCTGACGATAACCCATCTCACATAATCTGTTGAACAGATCAATTTTCACCCTAAAACATCAACGTCATTTTAAGTTCACAAAACCTCTCAACAATAGATGTATATAGGCTCAACAACCAAAAAGGATCTCTAAATAATAAAACACATTTTACCATAAATATGGTAACCAATATACTGTAATCGAACAACCAGTTACATGGTGATTATGGTATCTGAGCAACCATGCAAAAAGACTTTGCGAGTGAGCAATGGAAAACTGTGTGAAAACTACAAGTTTATTCACGTCAGCCGGAAATGGGAAATATTCAGTCGGAACAGCAATTTTTATGGCCGCTGTTTCTGCTTCTGTACGAAATGGACAAGTATGCCTTACCATTCGCCATTTGCAGTTTTTCCTAAATTCACAGCCATTTTATGTTTCTTTCTTTTTTCTTTTCGTTCTTTCAACAATTTCCGTTTCGCCTACATGTATTAAAGACGAGTGATGATGACTACACATCAAAGATAGCCTGACAACCAAACTGTCCAACCGCAATATAATGATTTACGCATATAATTATTGACACAATATGAATTGTTGGAATACAGAATTCCGACTACAGACAACTGACATTCCTTACGCTTCTGGAATTACATTCATCAGCGTTCCCATAACTACACAGAATATTAATAAATTCGTCCATATAAAAATGTCTACCTCCCGTTTTTTCGATATATAATCAACAGCTACGGTGACATCACCATTGCATGATCTCAAAGCTAGCCTTGATTCAGATGCACCGAACCCCATAGAGATCACTGTAAAAAATTGTGATGAACACGTGGTTTATAAAAATGAATATCACTGCCGTCATCTACTGACAACATCAATCACCTAAAACACTTACTTTGTGACAGCGATCCATCGTCTATTTTTAACTGATTGACTTCTTGTTCGACCTAATTGAACCAAAAAGAGAAAACGTATTCGTCATTAGATGATGGCCTTGAGCTGCCACTGCAACAACAGAAGATATAATACCATATCCAAAAGACGCGAGGCTTGTCTCATATCTCCCTTGTGGAAAGCGGAGATAGCTTGAAGAAGGTTAAGTCGAAGGTATAGGACTTTTTCTTTAGAAAAACCACCCTAAAATTACAACAGTAAACATGGTGTGTCAAGTGCTAATGAGGCAAATGTAAACCAATTTCTTCAAACAACAATCGTCATTTGTCAACTTACACACATGACAAATATTCATAAAAAATATCAACTTACACGTGATAAATATTCATAAAAAATATCAACTTGCACGTGACAAATATTCATAAAAAATATCAACTTACACGTGATAAATATTCATAAAAAATATCAACTTGCACGTGACAAATATTCATAAAAAAGATCAACTTGCACGTGACATATATTCATAAAAACTACGTCTCTCAAGCAGATGACAAAATACCCAGTTTCTAAAATCACCTTGCAAAAATACAACTAGCTTAATGGCGATCTGAAGTTTACACATTAAAGACAAATTGGTCAATGGGATACAGCTGTGAATTACAAAAATCTTATAAGAAAATCATGTGCAAGAAACAAGTTTCATTTTATCATCTCACCGTCAAGGAGACAAGTCGTTCGAGGTTTTCCCCGTAACTTTTCTTCAAACATTTTTCACATTTCTTCAGCAATTCGTCTACGAATAAATAAAACATGTTGCATCGGGTAGAAATGATGAAATTCAGTGGAAAAACCCAAAGAAAGTGGCGAACCTGCATTTGGTAGATCTCTGATGCTCTGCAGTTGAAGATAACACCAAACAACATCCAAACATAGTATGGCGTAATTATCAACTGCATTCAATACTTCAGAACGACATTGCCTGTATAGAAACAACGATTGACAATGCAGAAAAACATCAATAATAGTAACAGAGATTTTGTACTTACATGTAATGAGTGAATTTTTATTTTTTGAAGACACAACAACAACGAGCTGACTATTTCATGCATAGCTATGTTTGCACAAACCTAAATTCTTCTTCGGCAGCCAAAAACAAAGGCAAGGCGTCTGCATATTGTCTTTGTTCGGCCATTCTACGCCCTTGTTCGTGAAGTGTCATCGCAAGAACCAACGACCGTTAGAAAAATTTGTATTACATCACTTTACAACAACATTAATGTATAAAATACACATTACATGGGAACGAAAGTTTATTTAAAGTATCTGAAAACGATGGCACGTGACCGACCTTGCGTTCATCCTCGAGTAACTGAAGAGGCTTTCCATTTTGGTCACTTATCTCCAGTAAATAATCTTGATACGGACTTTTCCCACCTACACGTCAACATAAACGTGTAACTATCTTACTTGTGTTAAGACATTAGTAAAAGCCAGCAGCCAGCACGCATATTTACTCCCGTTGTGCAAAGTTTAAGTCACTAACGATATTTATTTGAACTTTAGCACAGCCTTAATGAAAAATCGGACTAGCTTACGCATATTCTACATCATCTTAAACACAAAACTTTGAAAATATTTGATCTTATTAGAAGAAAGACCACAAAAAGCATAATTATTTCTGAAAAGGAAAGATACTGCACGAACATAGCTACAGCGTTTAAAAGGCCTGTTTTATACGTCGCATTTTACATGCGTCGAACGCATTAGAGACAAAAGAAAATGAGATAAAATTCCTCATTATCGTTTCTTTTGAATGCATTCAACTCATGTAAAATGCGACGTATAAAACAGGCCTAAACAGTCTAAACTAGTGAATTTTGCTACATTCAACGTTCTACTTGTTCTAATTCTATTTATTACAATAATAATACATTCTTTTTGCTACATTCTGAAAAGCGCTTTGGGAGAATTAATAAAGTATAGTATTTTTAATAATAATAATAATAATAATAATTCTAATCAACGTGCAAATTGAGCATGCTCATTCTATATACTAATCTCTATTGACTTGATGTAGATGAAAATAAAGACTTGAGGAATTATTATTGAAGAACGTTGTCTCACTACCTTTCAAAAATGCATTCAAGCAGTTGAAATGAGAGTTAACTGAGATCTCTTTAACGTTCCCTACCTTGTGTTTTGTTAGCGAGCAAACTCGCTGCATTCCGCGTTTTCGTCACTGGGTTTATTGGTTGTTTTGATTGGCTACTTCCACTGATTCACTATGGTTGAATATCGCCATGACAACGCTGTTATGACGAACACCTTGCGCTTCTAGAGTTTGCTCTTAGGTGCATAATGAACAAAAGTTAATCCCCATGACTCTTTTACATCCCTATTTATTCAATTTATCAATATCAACAGAGATCATCAATAGATCCCATGCATCTCTAGTCTGTAACACAACTCTGTTTATTTAATGCACAATTCACAACTGAACACCTCGTTAGATGTTCATTTATCCCCTTGCCTCTTTTACATCCCTGTTTATTCAATCCATCATTAACAACAGATCATCAACAGACCCCCTGCATCTCTAGTCTGTAACACAACCTTGTTTATTTAATGCACAATTTACGACTGAACACCAAAACTGTTCAGTTTGTTATTTTTTTGTACACTCTGCCGGCATAGCAATATGGAGACGAATTTTGTTCAGAAAGAAAATAAATGAGCTGCTGATTTAATATCCTCTTCATAGAGATGCTTCCATAAACTAGTAATGTTTAGTAATTTAGATTCGAAATTAAGACTCTTAGGTAAGTTGAAAGCGTTTTTACACATTGCTTAACATCACACTACAAGCACAAGACAATTGTTCAGCGTATGTTGAGAAAACTTGTTGAAACCGTTCCACGGGGCTATTGGTAATGTAACTTATGTAAGTGCCATCTGATGTTTACCATGGGTGAAGAGAAATACTGACCTCAATCGCAAAAGTCATAAAAATCATAAGAGCATATTATTTTGTTGTTATTCAATGATAAACTTCAAAAATGGTCGAATCATTAAACACGATAACAAAGCTGTATTTACTTGACACGAACCAAACATGAAGTTTCAAAATGTTAAAGGAAAAGTACTACGAATGAAATGGCAGGCTTGACATTCCAGTGTACTTCATACCATAAACATGTATCGCATTGTTTCGCAAGTGCTCACCTTACGATAAGACAAAGCTTTTCTCACGCTTTAAGTGCTCAATTTGTTTCAAAACAAACCATACATCGGTTTGCCAACATGCTGGCACTGCCATGTTTAAGTAGTGAGGTCTTGTATCGCACTGTGCACCAACGATATTATTTGCGCATTATACGTAAGTTTAGCACCATCAACTCATTCTATTGAGGTTAAAATCATTTTAAATAAAAATTATTTTTCCGAAGTAGCTTAACGCAATCAGCACATTTTGAAAATCCTTGCTATAATTTATAAATACTTAAAAAAGATACATCACAAAAATTTAGCAGTGCGTTTGAGCCTACAATGTTGGTCTATATCAACAAGGACTAAGCACACACAGACTAGAGCATTAGTAGTCTGAATACGATTACGAAAGTAATATACGCAGCATTAATAGATACACTTCTATAATCATTCACTTAAGTCAATGAAGCTGCCCACGTATCTATAAAATCGGCTTACAGTACAAAGTAATTTACTTTGTCTATAATAAACACTCAAACATTAGTGTGAACTTTGTAATTCAGAGAACATTTTTCCAAAAGAATCTGTTTTCATTTGTTTTGTAGCTACATTGTAGCTGTTTATCAAGAGTGGCACCTTTGTGCCCCGCTATCTCAGCATATCACTGCATGCCGTATCGTTAAGGAGAAATTTAACATTTTTGAAAGCTTCCATAACTTCCAAATAAGGATGAAAACAATGTAAATGGATGGTTTGAAAACCCATTCATTTAACTAACTATACATAAAAAAAATCTCCCTGAGTAATAAGGGATGAAATAAAACAAGCATTATTTTTAATCTGACCATAAGTAAATTTTGCCACTCGAAATTCCAGAGCCAAGAATGCTCCTTGTCGGATGAAAAACATTTATTGATGAAGTTTGGATCGTGAAGCTAGGATCAAACTTTTCCAACAGTGGGGACGTTTCCATTTGTTCCACATGATAAAACTGAATCTATAAATAGGAAAACATGCATATATGTTTATATAGTGAATGGTTTGAGCTTGGGAGTATCGTTACATGTTTGTGGATGTAGATAGTCCAGGTTAGTAGAGTGACTACCGCTAAGATTGTCGAAACGTCAGTCTACATCAACACCAACAGTCTTTCTCAGGACTATATTAACCAGGGCGATCTACATCCACAAACATATAACATATGTTTATCTTAACGAAAATTACATCACAATAAAAAACATTGGGAATTGGTAGTTTGATGACTGACTGCATTACGAACGTGTTTACTATACCAAAACATCCAAGCATAGCGGTTTAAAGAAGTAGGTGAATGAGGCTCAAAGATCACTGAAAAAATCTGTTATTTGAAGCAAAATACGTGTTTACTATAGCAAAACATCAAAGCAGTTTAGCGGTTTAAAGAAGTAGGTGAAAGAGGAGCAATGAGAACTTGAAGAAAAAAACGGACTGTTAGAGGATAAATTATTATTTTCAACATTTTAGTTTTATTAACATTGACAAGGTATTCAATTCATTCAATTATGACATTTTCAATTTACACTTACGCGTCGCCTATATAAAAGACTACCAATAACAAATCCACGACCATTGCGTGGATCCCACGAAGCTTTAAAAGGCGTCAACCAACGATTATTCGTGCGATTGTAATGTCTAAAATTTGAACAATTACCATTCTTAAACAATATTGTTAGCATTTCTATCAAAGTCGTATACATTATCTGTCAATGCTTTAAGAGTAGAACGGCTTTATTTGTCATTTTAAAAGTTTTCCTGTTATATGTTAACAATAGACTCTCCAGTTGAACATTCATTAGTTTACTTAATCAATAAAAAAGTAACTTCATGATCTTACTGAAAATTTCGTTTCATTTCAAGTTTCCATGAGGATGTGACTTCCAACACTCTAAATGATGTAAAAATATTATTTTACTACAAAATTCTACTGAGATCGAAATGTTAAAGCTGGGTTTAATGCATTTTTCGTGTACATTTTTCTGTAGATTTTGAGAATTGTGAAGCGCAATAATAGAAAATCTGAAAACAACTTTAAAATAAGCAATTGACGAATTTAATATAAACATACTTAACAGTATCATCCCAACACGTTGTCAAAATGTACTTTCCATCACCAGGAGAAAAATAAGATGACGATATGGAACGACTGTGCTTTTCAAATGTGTCCAAACTTGATTTGATCCCTTTGAGATTTCGTAAATCCCATAATGCAACAGTCCTGTTAACAAACAAAACGAAAATGTACCTAAATAGCTACTATTTCGTTAGCATTGTCAATAATTAACAGTGTAAAAATGGAAATGTTCCGAAGGCGCAATGAAATGTTTCCACAATTTTAGACAACGAAGATGCTAAAATGAAGTCTTCAAACTACGGCAATGTACGCCTAGGTACGTAAGGTAATATATAAACTTGGCAAAAACTCTATAATTTTGCTTGAAGAAGATTAGCTACTTACGCATCGCTCGACGAAGTGCAGAAGAGATATTCGTTTGAACTGCTTGAATCGATGCACTTGACATTTTTGCCGTGACAAACATGACTTTTCACTTCATTCCTGTCAAGAAAAAGCAGTTCTTATGTTTATAATCCTATACTTTGTTTAAGAAATAAAACATGTTTACTGTATTAAGTGTGTTTGCACAGGCTTATGTAAACCAAGGAAACGCCTCCGAGGTTTGCTAAAGTCTGTGCGAACACGAAAAACATCATTTGTTTGTTTTATAAAATAAAATAATGCGAAAAAGACAAACATTTTAATTTTTCCTGTAAAATGTATTCATGATCGATTTGTAAATTCTCTTTGACTGATTGATTGTTTTGATTTGATTGGTCGAGCTCAAATGTGTTTTGCACAGACTAATGTAAACACGGCTCTAGACCAATCACTGCACGCGTTTTATTCTTTTGATTCTATAATGCAATTTCTCTTATCCATGCAAGTTCAACTTTACAACAAAATCGTCTCACGACACAAACATGCGTGACTACTGAGAATTTGAACTTATCTAACATCAAAAAAGAAAGCTATTGTTAACTGTACTTTGCTTCTCTAGTATCCAAAACTCCCACATAGTCAGCGTCGTGTGCTAATAAAAAAATATTCCGCGAGTTGAGAGGACACGAAAAACCGTTAATCACGTGATCATCTGTTGCATAAATCTACATAACGAATTCAATTACGCGTTAAATAAATTGATTACGTCATATAACTAGTGGCAAAAAATTGCTGATATTGCAGTGCACCAAATATCGTATATTCAAAGTTACTTCTTCAAAAGTACAAACATTGAAGTCTGCTCATCTCAAAGAGCCATCGACACTCGAGGAAAAAAGACTGTTGTTTCTCAATGGATGAAAATATACTTGTCTAACGTTACCAGCGTGTGGTCGATACATGATGACGTCATCATCTTCCTTGCTAGCGTCCTAAATGAAAAAGAAGACTTTACTATGTACTAACATGTAAAGCTCCAACAAATGGATAAGTTTTGATGTTTCTAGCAAGTGTTGAACATACACAAGACGATAATATGAACAAAATTCTCAATCAATGGGACAAACTATTATCAGAGACAAGTTTAGCCAGAAAACAACATGTATTTTTGTTACTACTGAAGGCATATAAATGGAGAGCAAAGCAACACAAACTAAATCAAAGAGTCTTACCACATTCCAAATACCAATGTTTCCAGCATTGTCACCAGCCGCTACAATTGTTTTATCACAACATGGATGAAACGCCATCGTCGTTATTCTTTTTGGAACAACTTTTCGTATTCGATCAGACGTCAAAGAAAATTTTGATATTCTCTGCTTGTAACTACACCAATGAAGTAATTTCAAGCATCAAAAACTGCATCGTGAAATGTAGTCGAAAATCTATAATCATCATAGCTTTACGCGTGCCACTGTTAAACCTTGTGTGTCAGTACCTTTGTGGGGAAGATGCTTCAACTGGAACAACGCTCGTCGTCATCTGCAAGAACGTTAACGGGAATCAAACAGTTGCAGGAAAATTGTATAACTCATTGAAGATTGTAGGAAGATTGCTTTGTTTAGTCATCAAATAATCAATGCGATGCCTTTAATAGCAACATTAGCACTATCTATAATGTTCAAAATGTGCCCAGTGGGCGTCGAATCGACACATATTGGCGCACAATGATGTTATTTCAACAATACCAACCTTAGTTTCGTTGGAAAGCAATTCTAAGGAATTCATGAATTTCTTATTTGCATCGTCTCCAACATCGTTTATTGGGTTTGCATCGATAGGACCCTTTATCCTTTCTTCCTTTTGAATTTAGAAACATAAAATACTTTACTTCAAAATGATATTTAATAACAATTAAGACGATAAAAAGACGAAACAAAAGAAACTAGTAATCTAAGGATAGTGCAAAGTTTCAGAAAAAAAAACAATGCTCTTAGTCTAGTAATTTGAATCAACCATAAAATGTTTTAAAAATTTCTTTTGTCAATTTCTTCATTTAATTTTAATTCATGTATCATTGCGTGAACATTCAATGACTTTATGGCCAATAAAAACATATTCAATAAAACCTATGACAAGCTACAGTCTAAAAATAAAGTTAATTGTTGTCTTGTATTAATGTTTTACACGAAAACAGTTTCCTTTTTGTCCACAAAGTAATGTTTATGGTTGTGTAGTGCTTACTTTGTTTTTACACATGATGGGAGGACGGCAGGGCCATTACTGCCATTGCGGAAAAGAGTTTGAAAACCCATTTGCTTAAACCAGCCAATAATATATGGCAGAGAACTTGCGTAGTCAACTTGAGCAATTAATGGAGGTCAAATCCAAGGGCGACAGAGCATTGACACTGAGGGGGCTATTATTTATATATATGCATGTTTTACTTTATTAGTTTCTATTGAAATCAATTGTGTTTACGGATGATAACAAATGAATATAAGAATAAAGCCCTCCTTCTCAATTATCAATGTTCGGTAAAAATCATCTACATCTCCTTGCACTTCTCTGGGAGTAATTACCTAACTAGCATGCTGAATCACATTTATCAAAAAGTAAATTACTCTCACAAGTCACATTAATTGCATTACACCCTCCTGTCCCATATGAAGTTTAAACCATGTATGATTTTATTTAATTTTAGCAGCTCATTAAAAAACTGCACTAAAATAGAATGTGGGAGATCAAGGCTATCTAAGACGTATGGAAGCAAAAGAAATGCATGCATTGCCTTACATCAGCTGGATAAATTCTTAAGTCTGGCAGAGTAATCATTTCAAATTGATTTGAGGCTCGTTCTTGACTGACCCTGGGGGAACGCCGTGCTGGTTCCACAACCTTTTTCTTCATAACGGCCTGAAAGTAAGATAAAAACAAATATAAATAACTATATCGCTGTCAATGATATTGAAATAAATAAAAAAATTGATGTTTTCAAAACTGTATAGAAATAAAATCCTTGGGATACGCATGTACAATAATGGGCATAAGCAATCATTACATATAATCTGACAATACATAACACAGGTTAGATGGTGCTCTCACAATATTTTCCAGTGAGTCAAATTCAGATTTAAATATGATACAGTTACCAGAAAAATCTTGATGAAAATATATATGAACATGAATTGGCCCATTAAAGTGCGAATGTATGACTCCTGATTGGTCATTAATTCCTTGAATCTCGTTCAACGCTCGACAATGTTGCTCATTTACACGATAATCTTCAATTGCTACACGGTAATCCTGATCGTTTAAACGTAAATCCTTTCCATATAGATAATCCCCGTTTTCGTTGAAGTCTCTATCCTGTATTTTCTTGACGTTGTTTTGGCCTAAAACGCGATAATCTTTGCTGACGTCACGGCCCATCCATCCATCAAGATGTTCCATCCATCAAGACCCTTTCCTTTTAGAACTACCATTCTCCTTATAAAAACATGAACTTTAATCCAGCAAAAGTACTACCACAGAGTTACAACTGACCTCGTTAATTTTCAATGAATCCAATAACTCTTTGTTCTTTCTAATGTTGGCAAGTCTCTGTTTCTCGTACTCTGACATTTCATGCACGTCATTGTCGTCAGATTGATCTTCACTCTGCAAAATCATAAAATGGAACAGAGTGAAAAACCTGATACATCACTTGTGTTGTCTTTTATCAAAAAATTTTTCTTTACACTGCTTGAACTTTCACAACTTTCTTCATATTGAGTGTTATCATTGTCTTCATTACCATCAATTTCATCTGATCTGATTTCTTTGGGTTCAGCATAGTTCACTTCAAGCTTCAATAACTTCCTTTGTTGTAGCTGAAAGAGACGCCCTAATTTGACGCACTGATATTTTGCACGAATATATAGGTTATATAGTTGAGGATTTTAATTCTAAATTCTACACGACAGAGCAGAGAACCCCAAGCTATTTTATTTGCATGTTAGTATAGTAATTACACCTCGAATGTAAATGTATGAAATATGAAGTAAAAACAGTAAACTATGAAACTTCAACAGTTAAACTCATGGTCCTGGTGGCCATCATTTCAATTTGTGTAACTTATATGTGCAGCCGACACAACACTCCGAATGGTAGTCAAAGCAAGGCATATTTAATAAGATATTCATGGCTTTTTTCTGTAAGACATACCCTTGTGGAAGTTCTTCGCTTCATTTTAAGTGTCTTCGATGCTCGACATCGTAGTAAAAATAAGGACGACTGGAATAGCGCGCCATAATTACAGTCTTCCCCCCACTTGTGTAGGAAAGCAAAACTGCAAACAACTTAGTAAAGGGTCAGCGGTTTCTTTTTCCTTGACATTAGTTGACTTTTTAAAGAAAACACCTAAAAATGTAACAATAGGAAACCAAAAATGACGAAATGCGTTTAACTGAATCATAACTTATTGGCAAAAATTAGAGGAAAATAGCAAATAATAAGCCTAAATCTATGTATTTACTGAGCTAAGCGAAAATTATTCACAAACTTTTCTAAAAGTGAATGAACATAAAATAATCCTTCTACAATCTCATGGAGAATTCGCCACATTCTCGGTTGGTCCTTGTATTATCCCTCATCAATAACATTCCTTAGCATCTGTATATACCAACTCCATCTTATTACGCTCCAAGATAAATTTTTGTTGAGCACTCTACGATAATCTGCAATGGAGAAATTCAACTTCAACTACAGCATCAAGAACATTCCTCTACCATCACCGAATGAATACTTACAACGACTTATTGAAAAATCTGAGACCTTCCTTCGTAATATGCGCTGGAAAGCTTACTTCTTCCTTAACCCGAATAAGAAAAATTCTTCATCCTCTACCAACCATCCAAATCATCCCTCAATAAACGCAACGAACTTGTTTCCTCTTGTCGCCATAGATCCAAAACACTCCTATGTAATTTGTAACCATACACCTTAATTAATACTCTAACTTCCGTCATCTAACTTGAAACTATACACCTTGATTAATACACTAACTTCCGTCATCTTGTATATATATTTTAAGCATTTAAGTATTTTATTCATTAAATCCCCTGAAGAGTGAGCAATCACAAAACAGGCTTGTCGGGATGAATCTGTAGTTTTGTGATTTTTCTCAACACCACTACACATACCAACTACATCTGTATATACCAACTTTGCAGAGTCCACTTTGAATCTTCTTGCAAATCTCTTGTGGTGACTGCTTCCTCTTCACTTTCGAAATCATATTCCTCGTCCTAAAGGAAAGACGCTGGTAGTTATTTTTACATATCTTCAGCAACATCATAAACAGTTCGTGTTTTCCATTGGTCAGCGAGTCCTCATCTAAAACTCTAGAGCGTACGCTATTTGCCTCAACTACGTATAACTAAGTTCAACTTCAACAAGCTAACTTCAATCTGGCGTCATTGTTTCTCCTCTGTCATGCTTGGATTTTGTTTCCCTGTTGGAATTTTCATTTTCAAGTATTTCTTCTACCTCAATCCATAAATTATAATATCTGTCGCAAAAAATTAGAGCATTGTTTATGCACAAAATATGCAGATACAAAGTTATGCAGAAAAACAACATGGTCACAGATATTACGAGTGGCCTAACAAAGTGTTGATGAATTTGATATGCATTTGTCAAAACAAGTTTAAAAAGACAAAGAGCATGCCAAATACATATGATTGAAAATTTGCTAAGGGCATATACACAAGCAGTAAATTCAGCATTTGCTCCATTACAAATTGATTGAGATTTAATCTGAGAATGCGTAATCAACTCCACCCGATCTCCAAGTTTACTGTTATGGCAACGACCAAATGTATGTACTAGTACCGATTATGGAGTAATTAGCTCGCTCAGTCACAAATTTTCAGATAAATCATTTGCGCATGCGCAGTCTGCTAGAGCATGCGCAATCGATTGGACCAAATTTTTAAGTTCATGGTCATGGCAACGACTAACTGCATCTATTGGCACCGATTTTAAAGTAAATAGCATGTTTAATAATAATTTAGTAGAGAAATCATCTACGCATGCGCTCCAGCATGCACAATCCACTTGTATAATTGTTCGCAGTCACGGCGACAACTAACTAGATGCATTTGCACTACATCTGTGGAAATTAGCTCACTTAGTAGAAAATTATCAAAGAAATCATCTGAGAATGCGAACTAGTGACTTTAATAATACCACAACTTTCGTAAGCCTTTGAATTTTTGTATATATATATATAAAGCTAAAACTTAGTATAGTAGATGTCAACTAGCAGTGGAAGCTGGGTGCGATTAGGTATGCAGTGGCTTACGGGCCCACACTTCGGTGGTGACCGCACTCTCCCTGCCTACCCCGAGCAAAGCTTATCGCAGTTGATCTCGTGGTCTGATGGGCGGAAGCTTGCTATTGCATCTGCCAAGTAGGATAGCGTGGAGGGGCCGAAATCTCCTACCGAAACGTTAACATGCGGCGTTCTAGTGCCTTGAGATTAAGAAGGTATCGGGAAGCATGGACCGAAAACGGGGTTTTTTACTTTCGAATTTTATCTTATTAAAATAAAATAAACCAAGCAATACTTCAACTAAATTCTTCTGAAACTGTCCCATTTTATGACACTTACAATTCAAGATAACTTAAAACATGTTTTATACAATTTTTATTGGTTTATATATCTTTCTGATTTAATTCTCTCATTTACTGTTTCTCATGTATCACGAGCAAACCGTCCATGGACTTCATGGCAAACATGATTATCTGCTTCCCTTAACTAACATACGACGCTCTAGTGCTAAACTATCTCGGGGTATTGGAAGGCATGGATCGAACACGGGATTTTTTGTTTTTGAAATTTTTCTTTTTTCTTTACAAGAATTCTTCTCATAAAGAAACTAGAACATCCACGGACACTGCAAAGGTTCAAACAACTTCTGCCTTTTTGACTTATAATTCAAACCAACTCCAAGCAAGTTTATACGTTTTTTACTAGTTACGTTTTACAATGTACCTTCTCATAACTGTCTCGTGATGAAAGAGAGCCTCAATCCTTATATAATATAACTCTCTCGTGATGAACGAAAGCATCCATGGGATTCATGTAAAAAAGGGATTATCTAAACATTTATAATAGTTTCTACAAAAGATAACATTTAATAAGCCAAGGAATTTGTATCTTCTAAATTGAACCTCCCTTTCAAACTTATGTTATAAAATTTTGATTAATTTTGGATTGTAAATTTCTTTTTACCTTAAAATATGTTCATGATTCAATCTAAAAAGTAACTTCTCCTCTCGAGTAATTTTGCAATTAAACAGCACAATTTTCGGATTCAAAGGAATTCTTTGATCGCATAAAGACAGCCGTACAATTTATTACGAACCTAAGCGTATATAAAGCATTTTCAAACCACAAAAAAAATTTCCTTCACATGACCAAATTACCGTCTCTTCAAACGATGAATGTAATACAAAGTTACCTTGACAACTGAAGCAAACCCTCCTTTTTCCAAGCATTCTCAACATCTCAAATTCATTCCGAATTCTTGAATTTCTCGCAGCGTAGCCGAAAGATTTTTCATGACTTTCCAACTTCTATTAACGAAAAAAGGTGTGAGAAAATAACAAATGATGATTTAGCAACAAAATCCGCAGCGCAAGAATAAACGTCAAGAAATTTTGAGAGGATTGGAGCAGAGAGCTCAATTCTACAAAGCTCGAATGCAGCTCTAAAGCAAAACAGTGGATGGCCACAGGAAAACACAGTTTGCACACAAGCGCTCAACTATGACGTGAATGCAAAGGTTTATAGAGAAGTAAACGAATATTTCCGCTTGGACTGCGAAAATCATCGTAACTTGGAAAAAAATGTTGCAGTTAAAAATCAAAAGGGTCGTGACGTCACAAAGATTATCGCGTTTTAGGCCAAAACAACATCAAGAAAATACAGGATAGAGACTTCAACGAAAACGGGGATTATCTGTATGGAAAGGATTTACGTTTAAACGATCAGGATTACCGTGTAGCAATTGAAGATTATCGTGTAAATGAGCAACATTGTCGAGCTTTGAACGAGATTCAAGGAATCAATGATCAATCAGGAGTCATACATTCGCACTTTAATGGGCACATTCATCCAATCATAAGATTATCAACAGAGCCACTGTTACATGATAGCAACTACTATCATTTATAAACTATTATTATATCATATTATAATTTCATATTTTTATATTTTAACTATAACATTACTATAAGACTGTAACTCATACCTTATGATAGCAATAGTTTATTTTGGTCTACAAGCAAATACTAAAGAACCATTTAAGTTCTTTATTTAACAACCTTTACATTAACATTAATGAGTTCTTGGAAGAACCTCCCACTCATACAACTAAGTACACGTCGCTGAATTACAACACCTATTGATATGTAAAAATGTTGAAGAGCCTCATGCAGAGTGCTTAATAACATTAATATTAGTCAATTATGCTCTGGTATGTTTTGACATGTCAAAAAGATGTTTAGTTTGAGCTTTGAAGTAATGAATTTTTTATCTGTAAGCAGGCTATATTCGTTGTATAGAACTGAAAGTTTCTTTACACGTCTTTATCTATTTTAATGGAGCATTATGTGATTCGCGTTGTTTTTCTCGATCCTCACGTGATTGTTTTTGCGGTTTACTTTAAAGTCTTCACATTTAACAAGGCATAAATTGACGTACATTTGTCATTTTAATTTTTCGAGCAAGTTTCGATTAAACATTTTATGTTGTTTTCCTAAGTCTTCATACGATCTATGTGTGACATTTTTTTTACATTTTTTAATACCTTAATGTAAACTAAAATTTACACACATAAAAATAGTTGACAGCATCATCCTAGAACTTTGGTAAAATACACTTTCCATCGACACGAGAGACCTAAGTGCCGCCTAATTAGTGAAACCCAAAATACAGTTTGTTTGATAATAGCTATACTGTTATTTTTGAGGTGTTGAACTAGCACTTTCTCTAGTGCTAAACTGACACCCACCGGTGGTGTTAAATAAAAGGTGTTATTATAACACCAATATTGGTGTTGATTTAACAACATATGACCTTAAACATATTGTAGCGTGTCAAATTTACACCTCAACACTTTAACACCTAATTAATAGTGCTGAAATAGCACCTTGTTCTGCCACAAAGGTGCTAAAGTAACACTGTTTTTTGGTGTTAAGTGGTTGGTGTTAAATTAACACCATTAGCAAGAGTTACAATAATTTATAAAGGGCGTTATTTCTGCACCACTCTCCTTGTAAAATCATGGGTGTCAAAATAACACTTATTTTAACTGTTTTTTTAACTTATTTTTATACTTATATCAAAACTTTTATACTAACCCCTATAAATCATTCACTGATGATAAGTACACAGGTTAAACAGTAAATAGAATAATTTATACCAAAGATAATCAGCTTTTTTGAAAGGCCATAATATATACATTACGATAATGCATGAATATGCTTTGTTCAGGAAAGTAGAATTTATTCTACATCTATTTCATATCTATGGCAAATGTATTTTGTGTTACACCCAAATGGCTTTATCAAGTTAAATGGCAAATGTGAGGTTAACTCTTTAAAATATTTAATTTTAATTTCCTTCTGTTTTGACTGAGCAACTTCATAAGCCTGATAATGTTCAGAAAACCTGACAGTCTGTTTTCTTGAAACAACAAACATGGCATTTGCAACATTTTGGTTAATGATATAAATACCAATAACTCCCCAAAACTGGGGAAATTCAACATAATCATAACCAATGTGGACAGTAGCTCCTACTTTATATTTTGTTCCATTGATAGTAATCCATTTGGTACTAAAATTATAATAGGAAAAATATTAATATTATTTAGTTCACAGCAATTAATTGTGTACATAAACTTTACTGAAAAGCAAGTAAATAAAGAGCAATTTCAAGCAATTTCATCATTCACAATGAAGATATTTCAGTCACCCGACTAATTACATCAATCTGACTTACCTATACAATGGTGTTTGTCTGTTCACTTCAGGAGATTCTGTTCGAATGAGCCCACTCTCTTCAACATCACCAACATATATTGTTTTACCTTCAGAAAGACGAACATAAGTTTCTCTAATTACTGTAGCTGTAGCTTACATAAAAAATAAAACCAACTCAGGATAATGGATGCACCATTGAGCTATAACTATATATTGTATCTGAATGAAAGAAATCATTAAGAAATGCACCTGGCCCAATTTCAGTGCCTTTGCAAATAAACGTGCTATTTCCACCTTCAGCAGACTGTAGGCGATAACAAACTCCTTCTTGGTGCCTCTTTGCCAACGAGTATGGTAGGTTTATAAAATTACCAATCACTATTGCCAACCTCTTAAAGTAATGGTGTTTTGCTTCGTAGCGCATGCACCAACTTCGCACAAGAGGCCCAAATCTGTTAATTGATACAGAATACAAGCAAGAATTGTAAATTAGTTTTGAAAACTGCAGGTTTTTGAAGCCACATGGTTTGTAATTGTAAATCAGAATTCTAAACTTACTGAAGTATTGCTCTTGGCATATGAACCATGTAGTGCATCTTTGGAATGATACTGCATTCTGGAAACAATTCTTTAAAATTTTGTAATAACTTTTGAATGAGTATTTGAAGATATGAAACTTGCTCTCTGCTCACAATTGGAGTAAAACTTATACGAACAATTTGAAGTAAGGTACAGAGTAACCCCCAGTGCTGATCATCTACTTCTATAAGGTCACCAATAAGAAATGGCAAATGTAGGCCAAGACACCACATCTGATTTGCTAATAGGACGGAAAAGCGTCACAAATTATCTTCCTGAGGGAACGTGTGCTTATTACTTCATTTTTAGGGATCCCCTGACCTTAGAATACCTTATGGTATCAAATAGTTACATACTGTATATAGATCTATATAGAATTTAAGGATTCTTAAAATAGTGGAAAGGACATTAATGTACCGTGCTGCTTTAAACTATTGTCTGATGAAAGAAGTCTTTGGGCTTGAATTGGAGCAGGTTTATTGGTATCATTATGATAACCAAAATCAAATGCCTGCATCCTTTTATTAAGGTCGTCTAGTTTGAAGTATCTCTTTTCAAAGATGAATTCTTTTAATAATTCTTTAACAATGTATTGTAGCACACCTTCCAGTATATCATGCATAGCATCTGGGGGGAGTCCTCCAATGACATGATAGTACTTTGAGTTGTTAAGTAAAGAAAACTGATTCAGGCCATAAGTTTTTTTGAAATGCTCTCCTTGGTCCAGTTTTTGACACTGCTCATTGTAACCTTGCACTGTTCGCAAAACAAAGTCATCCTCATGAAACTAAACAAATAAGTTAAATTAAGTCACCCTAAACACAAACAGTATCTACCACTGAAACCATTTAAATTAATTAAACCAACACATTGTCTGAAGTAAAGCACTTTTATATGAGCTAAGTACTTTTTATTTTTCAAAGTTTACATACTATGGAGAAAGCATAAACCATGCAATAGATGCAGTGGCAAGTGTCAATTAAGCATTACTGTAGCTACATTATATATACCATTTCAGTTATTTCTGTAGCATTTCCCATACAGACTCTGCATTTTCTGTAAGACTGTGATCCTTGCTTAAACCCACCAAGATATTGTGAACCAAGATTATCTCCAGATATAAATGCAATTGTTCCTGCAAAGCATCTTCGCTGATTATTTATTATAAACTCATAGCCACCAACCTAAAAAGTTAATTTATTCCTTAATTTATTAGAGTTCTTAAAAGAACAAAACATGAAAACATGCATCAACACTAGTCCAATACCTGTTCTAATTTTTGAAGGTCTCTAAGAAATGCTCTTAGCACAGGTTCCACACCATATATCTTGAGATGCTTACTAGACACTAGTCCAAGTAGTTGAATGGAATTGAGGTGAGACCGGTGTTCAGGGCGTATATTGCCCAATGTATAATAAAAAGCGGCTATATGAAATGCAAAAGGTAACCGGAAAATTTAATGAAATAGACATTTTTAAACCTACAGTATGGGAATTACTAGCACATTAAATTAAATTATGGTACTAACCTAATTTAAGTTTGTTAGCTCTTGATCCTAATGGGTTACAAACTTCTACTTCATCAAAATAAATAAGAAGTTGCAATGCCAAGGGATCTTTACTGAATAGTGGGTGCTCTTTAAAGCCTTCACCATCACAATAATCAGACAAAAAATCACTGTTGCAAAAATGAGGATTTTCCACCTACACAAAATTGGATCGGATACTGTCATGTGCAGAACAAAGCTAAGGCAATGGTAATATTAAAATTTTCTATATTCAGCATTGTGTTCAATGGACAATTATATACATACATCACATGCACATGTAATCAACACAAACCTCGTTAAGAATTGACTCATCATTAAGAAGCTGTTGCAGACTTTCCAACAAGGGAATATAGTATGCATCATCTGTTTTTTCGACATCTCTCAATCTATTTCCTCTTCTTTTCTTTGTGTGGTATTTTCCAAGAACAATCTTTTGTGGTTCCTAAAAGTGAAATATTGATTGTAAAATTTTGATTACTTTTTATAAATTTCTAAACCAATTTTACAACTTACCACAAGATTAAACTCCTTCTTGTAGTATTCATATTGGAGATACTCTTGGTCAATACCAGCAAAAGGATTTGAGATTGGGTTGTCTTCATCAAATAACTCATTCACCTCTGGTAGGTTGTTTAAGTCAATCCCAGCGTTTTAAGGCAGCTAGTTATACCAGAATTTAAAAGGTTAATGCTTGTTTGAGTAACCTTCGTAGCATTCTCAACGAAGGAATCAACAACAGTTTGAGGTACACGTCCTCTGTCTTTGAAATTTAACAAACATAAAGCATTCGCTCTAGATAAATTGTCCTGGTCAGCCATAATGTCAAACTCTTCTCCCTGTTCAGGGTCTGTATTATCAATCTCATGATTTTGATTAGCATCGTCGTTTCCCTATCAGTATTCAACTCTGCGCTGTTCCTCGTATTGCGCACGATGTTATGTTTTCGAATAAGGTGATTTCTCAATGATAAAAATTTCTTAAACGTCCTGGCACAACCATCGATGCCACAAACAACATGAAAATTTGGTTCATCACGATGAACACGGCCAATATGTGTTATTAGTAATTGAAGAGAATCTGAAACGAATTCTAGGCAAATATTACATCGATATAGACGCTCCATGACATAATTCACTTCAAGAATACAATTCACTTCTGAAGAGAGTGCCGGCTCAACTCTGTTACCATATATGGTGTGAAATGTGATATTAGCGACTATATGCAAAAACGCGGTAAAATGCTTAAAGCCAACTGTCACTGTCAAACTGTTTCATATTTCATTTCATGCTTTTCATCGTGATTTCACCTGTTTGTGCAGCGTTGTCAAATTATATTTTATTGTGAACTAAACGTAAAACTCAATATTACCAGGCTAAAAGAGCCATTGGATTTAAGTTATTTGCTTTCGACGTTCTCCCTTCTTTTAAAAAGGTAAATACAAAGCTTTTTTGAATGTATTTTCTTATGAAATTTCTTGTGACACATACTTCTCCTCGTGCTTATATTTCATGTAGAAATTTTTGTATTTGTATTGTACAAATTTTTATACGTTTAAGGTCGGATGGATTCCACGTTGCTTGATAATCTTAAGAAGGCAGGGGTAAAGGACAGTGTAATTTCTATTCTTGAAGATGAAGAGGTATGTGTATAAAATTAAATTTAGCACGAGTGCATGAATTTTGCGTGTTGACGTTGTGACTAGACGACTTTTGTTGCTTTTGTTAACACTGCTTGGTAAATATGGACTCCATACCGAAAAAACAATACTTGAATTTAGTGGGGAAAATTATTGAGGGAAATAAAATGTAAAGATAAAAAATGACTAAGTAATCTAAGACGTCAAGCATTATGAGTGAAAGTTCAACTGCTGTGGCTCCAAACTACATTAGACTATAAGTAAAAATACCAAATCAATATTATTGCAGCATGCTAAGTTGATGTTCGAATAAATTACTTCATTTTTTTTACTCCGGTCCGCGGAATCCTGGCAAATGTTAAAGCCAATAAATTAAGCTGTTTTAGTAATTTAAAAAAGTTATTTGGAAAACGTTTTTGACAATGGATTTGAATGATAGTTCTCACTCGGAAAGCGAGTTTTACTACGACGAGCTTGGAAATATCGTGGAAAATGTTAGCGAAAATATAGCAGAAAACTTAAACATGGATGAAAGGGACGAAAGTTTTACGCATGAAATTCAAGATTACATTATGGCACAACGGCCATAACCGCTTGACAAGAAATAAATACGTTATTTACCGTTTATATTTCGGTCCGAATAGAAAAATAGTTCCTCTCGACATAAAAAACGGCCTTTGGCCTCTGGCCGTTTGGGACCTCTGGAAAACATTTTTACATTTATTTCACGCGCGTTCTGATTGGTCAAAGCCCAATCCAAACATCAAATGGCTGTTCTTTTTTCGCTTGAAGCGAAAAAACAACTCGACCAGTATCCTCCTGTACGAACCTCTCGCTCAGTCATTAACATATATATATCTTTTTAATTTAATTTTGATTTTTTGTACTTAAATAGTTTGATTCAGCTGGTATTTTAAACAATACATCTGATGAGCTGTTGAAGGCATGTGGCTTAAAAGGAGGGCAAGTTATACGAATCAAAAATGCATTGGCAACGATTAACAGCTTGGACAAGTTTCTACCATTAAGAAATGTTCCATCCACCATTGAACCATCCACCCAGAAGATCGCTTTATCCACTAGTCATTCCTTCGCCATAAATGACAATGTCAGCAATTCTTCAGCTTCAATTGAAGAAGCTCATTCGTCAACAGGCACACCGTCACCTACAACATCCAGTACACCTTGACATACCATAGCATCTGAAAAGAGTGATCAACCTTCACCAAGCTTTGTACTTGTGGAAGAAAGGAAACCGAACAAGAACTGGATAAAAGATTTTAAACTTCCTATTTCTGTATGTTAAATAATATACCTCATAATAGGTCACATTCTGATGTTAAAATTTATCTTTTGTATTTTACAGTTTTCTCCAAGAGTGAATGAAGCACTGCAAGCAGGAAAACTTAATGGAAACCTTAGGGATGAGTTTACTAGGGACATTTGTTCTTCTATTAAAGCTCATACAATGTTTCCATCCAGAGAAGAAAAACAAAGAGTGGCGTCCATGATTGTAGAAAAATATACTTTTCTTGTCGATTCACTTGGAGCTGGTACAGTAAGTCATATTCATATTACTTAATGCATATGATAATCTTTAGAAGAAATCCTATAGCTTTTCTCGCTATCTCTTATAATGTACAGCATGAACTTTCTTCGTTACAGGGGTCATGGTTGAAAGCAATCACTAATCGATTCAAAAACATGCGTAGAAAGAAGACAAATTCAACAACAAGATCTGTTTGTGTGTCTCAAACTACACAAAAGCAGCCAGAAGCAAAAATGAAAAGACGTAAGCTGTATGATGTTTATGATATGGATAATGGTGAGACTGCAGAAACGTGCGAAGAACATAAAAAAGCCATGGTAACCGAGATGAAGAAAACAAAAAGATATAGACTAATTAATGAGCTCATGGAGTTGACCTACCCCTACCGGCGCCAACAATTTATAAATGAACCAAAAGTGTTGAATGAGCTACTGACTGAGTATCCAGCTCTTCAGCTTGTTTCAGAGGTAAGAATAAATATTTTTTGAGCAGAACTATTGCATAGAACTATCCTCAAAATCATGGGGCAGCTAATTTTACCAGTTGTAGTTGACATCTTTTGCAGTAAACTTGCTTTTTTGGTAACTTGTATTTTTGCAACTGGAATAGGTAAAAGCAGAATTTGGTCGAATTTTGGCAGACCAAAATGCAGCCAGCAACATGGTTATCCATTACAATAATATGGTTCAAAATGTAATAAAATGGGCAGGCAATAGTGACAACAAACACATAAAAATATTGATGTCAGACATGGAGGCCATGCTGTTGAAAAAACCTAATAAGGAAGCTGGTATGTGTATTCAATTAAGTCTGTCCATTTACAGAGTTCCACCGGTGTATTTATGGGAGGGGTGCACAGGGGTGCTCACTTCTCTAAGCTCTCGTCAACAGCGTAGTGCATAGAGGGATAAAAAATGGCATTTTTCATGACTTAAGTTTTAATTAACGCGGAACATTTACTATTATTATATATAAAATATTTAGCGAATTTATTTGTTTCTAACATTTGGATTTTAGTCGCTCATAAAAACCAAGCCCCCCCTAAAAACTCTATGCTCGATCCACCACTGTAGAGTTTCATCTTAAAGCATGAGCACTTAAATCTACAATGGAAAAATGCGTATACTGTAAATATTAATCAGTTGGTTGTATATTTTGCAGATATAAGGAGTGCAGTTACAGCATTGATTATTCAGGTTGTGTTGAATGAAAAATCCACGGCAAATTGCTTAGTTTTCAAGATCTGCTGCGTAAGTAATAGATATCGAAACTATATAAAAACTGCATGGATTAAATTTTATGTATGCTTTAATAAAAATACAATTATATTACTGTCATGACATGACAATATTGTGTCTCACTTTCAATGTCCTAATAATTCTAATTGTGTTTATGTTTATGCTGTTGTTTAGGAAGATGACTCTTTTGATGATGAAATAGCAAACACCACCTACCCACGACTAATTGGATCAGGAGAATTAGGGAGTCTGGACCCCCTTGTAATTGCTACCGAAGGGCAAATTTTTTTAGATCTGTCAAAAAAAAATATAGAAATTTCATTGTCTATAGTACTACTTCTAGGTACATTTTACGTACTTAATATGGAGTATACACCAAAGGCCTGTAACATTTATGCCCTTTTGGAAGTAGTTTTGATGGGTAAGCCCGCAAATGCAAAGAAAAGGGTTTCAGTTCAAAAGTTTGTGAAAAGTTTGGGGCTTTAGAGATTATAAGATAGTAGTATTTCTAAGATGTTTTATATATTTAGTTATATATATATACATTTAACTTTACTTGTTTCATATATTGACTTGTTTATAGTATGTTTTATGTTTTGTATATATTTATATGTGTGAATACATGCATATAAATCATTTGATTTTTTTAAATATATTTAATGCTTAGCATTTTTGTGTCGCGTGTTTAACTGGCCTTACATAAAACAATAAGAAAAGGGGTTACAAAATAACACCGAATTTAAGTGTCATTTTGACACCGGACGCTAAGGGCTAAATTAGCACTTAAACAAGTGCTATAATAAGACCAAGAATAGGCGCTATTTTAGCACCAAACTCGGTGTTAATTTAACACCAGTAAGAAAATAACACCCGAAATGATGTTATTCTGTACCTTTTAATTTAACACGACTTTTTAGTGTTAAATTAACACCTTAAAATTTACAGTATATGTCTTCTTTAGTGACATAGTATGAAAATCTACTTTAAAATAAAAATGCCAAAAGCCATTCTAAAAAACTCTTCGAATTTCAAGCTTCTTTCATTACGATACTTCCAGCAAAAAATGTTTGCATGTAAATCCTAGAGTGAAATATATTGAGTAAAACAAATACACGGACACGAATAAAGAATTGAATAATTTAACCAAATATTCTTGAATACCTAGAACTTAGCATTCATACCTTATATTACTCCGGTCACTGGTGTGATCATCAGGAAAGATTTTAAGATATAAGCTTCCATAATTTCATTTCAAAAAATCTTAACACGCTCATTTCAATGAACGTTAAATTTCTCACAAAAAGATTTTTGCCTTTTATATAAAAGTAGATTTGTTGAATTAAATATCCCTTCATATAAATGTTGCGCGTGCACACGAGAAACAAAAATCGCCATCATGTCTGCGAATTTTCACCTACATCGATCTTTTAAAAATGATAAATTGCACACATATCAACTCAAGCATCAATACATGAGCATATGACAACAACACATACAAATGTACACCCATGACAAATAACAGGATATATGTTAATAGTAAAAACTGAAAGTTACATGTGGAAGTCTTGTACACTGTATCGCCCTATGTACTACAATAATTATTTCAATCTTTAAATTGAAATCAACGTCTACAATAACATCAAAATTTAAATTAATACATAAAACGAAGTGAATTGTCAGCGTGTGTTTGTTGCATATGTCTTAGACATTGTTTCACTAAGAAGCCAATTAATTTTGGTTTGATCTATCTTATATTCATTAAAGGGCATTCGATATGCTGTCGTATTTCTTTACAACGCACTGTTGACGAAAGCATGAAAATATTCGGAACTATGTCCAACTTACAAAACCTACAAAAAATTCCTGCTACGTCCTGAAACGGCTAAATACCTCAAAAATAATTTTTATTTTAAAACTAAAAAGTTAAAATGTATTTTAACCTGCCAACAAGCCTTTTCACCAATCCGCATAGCTGTTATGTCAAATTTTTTTTGACTTCATTTCTTTCAAGGTTTCTGTTTTCATCCCAGAATTTATCAAATAGCTTCATGTTTCCAATACAAAAAAATCTTTTGATAAATCCTCTGAACAAGACACGTTGAAGAATTTCAATGTCTTTTTTGTGTCAATCTTTCGTTGCTTTTTACAAAACGCTCCTCGATGTAGAGCAACAACGTCATAACAGATAGTCAGCTATTTAACTGATTTCATACAAACAAATTCGATCAGCCAATTGAGGACTCTGCATGAGCTTGATAGCGTCTTAAACCTTTCCATTAATAATTCTTCACTTCATAATTCTTCCAAATTTATGTCTTGGACTTCACAACGCCGCATTCTTGAACCAGATCTGTTCGTTGACTTAGGTGGTAAAGAACTTTAGTATCAAAAAGAACTTTGTAAACATCCTTTCCTCTATTACACAAAAGCATATCATAAATTAGAAACAGAGTTCATATCTTTTACAAATAGCCTTTCCTTTTTCCACATTGTTGGTGACGGCTGACACAAAAAAGTTTACCGAAGTATAATCCAATTTTTGTTTGACATCAACGCAGAAAGTGCAAATTGGTAACTCATCTTATGCTTTCTCGTTGAACTTTCTATGCCCATTGTGCCATTTGCAGCGTTTCCGCTATTTCGGATTGGTGCTATCGGTGTTGCACAAAGTCAGTAACAAATAATAATTTTGAGATTTAACTTAATATCACGAATATTTTCTTCAATTTAAAGGAATACGACAACAAACCTGCAGTGCTACCTGCTGGAAAATGATTGTTAATCGTTTCAAAAATCCTATCAAAGGTGGGATTTATAACAAACAAAAAAAGGAGGGAAATGTTTGAGAATTCACATATAATAAAAAGAATGGCCTTCGAATAGCACGTTTCACTGTATTTCTAATGAGCCTAAAGCAATTATTGTTCAGTGAAACACTATTCTAGCTTCGCAAAAACAATACCTGAAATTAGCTACAAAAAGAACCCTATTTATGAAACTTAAATATGCAACAAGCACACAACATGATTACAGCTGTTCCTCATAAGAAATCATTTGCTTAATAAACTTCATAACTATAGAAACTAAATTATTTACACCAAAAAAACAGAAAACTGTACAAGGCATGGTTGATTGTTCATATTTGTAGCATATGTACAATCCCAACACTTATACACATGCGCTCATATAGCTCATTGCACAACATTCTTCTTTGTTTCACAATAAACAAAACAAAATTATCCTTTAACTTTCCACATTTCTAAAACTATAGCCGTGAATTTTCAAGCTGAATGAACGTTGTAGCTAATACGGACCTCTTAATTTCTTGCGCCAGAGAAGTTCGTTTAAGACAATAGCTACTTCGAAAATGGATTGGATGAAAATGATTTGTACAAGGTCAAACCATAACGAGCAATGTTGTACAAGTCTGCCACTGATATAATCAACTCTTGTTCACCATTACCAACTTCACCAATCATACCCTCGATAGATAACAATAATGGAGATGGAAAGTCAATTCTGACTCACAGTATCGCCAGCACGCTTGATATGTCGTTGTTGTGTAAATTCCTGTGATAGGTTGGTTGTCGTGTTTAACAAAGTTTTTTCCGTCTTTCTATCACTGGACGGTATATAAATGACGACTTAGCAACGGTACGAGCACGGTAAAATTTATTTTCATTTTGGAAAGTTTTGGGTACGTTTTTGTAATTAAATCACTTGTCAGTAGTTTATAACTTTACATAGTTTTGAAAAGTGACAAAAGCTTCAAGAGGTATTCATTACTCATTTATCCTATTAAATACGTCATTTTAAATACTAATTGATTTGAACTATCAAAAATTCTCACTACTTAATGCTTCCATATTTTTAATAAAAAGTCGTGTTTGATGATTAATGATTTCAGTGGGTTCTGCAGTGTATTTTATAATATACCATGAGCGAGTTAATATCTATCGTAAACAAAGTTAAAGAAGATATAATGATATTGCAAAGCAAAAAATTAAACATATCACTCTATACAATTACATATCAGTTATTACACGATGCCTGAAATTTACATTTTATAATTTGTAAGTTTCCTGCAGCTGCTCTTTAGCATCTTTGAAGGTCACATTTTTCCAAGCTGAAGGGATGTAAGGTTCTTTTGCCTCATAATGTTCAGCTAGTTCTTTTGAGAACTTTACCATAAACCACTGCCAATATTTAGAAGGTTCAAATGAAGGATCTGGAGGAATTGTCCAGGATTTGTAGTAATCGTTTACTGACTGATAATCTTTACACTCATACCATTTACCACCGGTGTTAAAGTTTCGAAATGATGAATTTCCAGCTACCAAAGATGTGCACATATTAGAAGACAAAATCTGAGTGTCTTGATAGCGATAACCTGTCAAGCCCGGGGGACGGTGTATTCGTGTTGAGTGGTTACCTGGATGGCCTTCAATAGTCTGATCACACAAACCTTTACAAAATGGACAGACGCACTGACAGCCAAATATTGCAGGGAAAAGAATTTCATGTGGAGCTGGATCCCATTTCCCAATAGTTTCACTATCAACATCAGCTAGTTCCAACGTTTTCACAAATTCCGAAATACGTTTACGAATTTTTGTTTCGAATACGTCAATATTTTTTAAATCTTCATTTATTGTCGCAACACCAAACATCTCATTCGTGATGGCAAGCGTGGAACATTTTTGCACAAAATATCTAATCCAGTTTATCACTTTAAACTTTCCACTTTCTTTTTCCATTTCACGTCTTGCTTCTTGACTGGCAAATTCAATCGCAGTGGTGATATTTGACTTGATCTTTTGCGTTTCCTTCCTCACCAGCAATCGAACCATAGAAGGTTGTCTCTTCAAGCAATAATCTTCCACTGATTCTTGCAATTTTTTCTTCAGAAATTTAACTGGATTCTCAAAATACGGAACAAACAAATCAAACATACCTTTCTCTCCAAGTTGAATTAAAACACTGGCATGATAAGGGCCTTTGCTTTGGAACATGCTCTTTGTTAAAAGTTCACCAGTCACAGCAGGTCCCATGGTCTTGTTAAGCTCTGATTTGATAGGCTCAAGAAGCACATCGACCAGCGAGTTAGCAGCCAAAACTTCTTTCTCCATTTCGTTGACAAGATTAACGAAATATGTTTCTAACCTCGGCCTAAAGTTTTGCTGCAGGTCGCGCCTGATATCTCGTTCCTCAACGTAATGCTTCTCCATTTCATCAAAAATTTTAACAGTGCATGCAAAGGTGTATATTAAAATATCACAAATCAATTCTTTCTTAAATTTAAAGCGTTCGTTTTCAGATGCTTTTTCTATAGTAGAGGTTACTTCATGGTACATACGTGTTAGGTGATCACGAGAGTATCTAACAGCAGTTTTCGAAGTGTCCTTTGCAAAGGCAATTCCTTTAGAGACTGCTTCGTCTTTGATATTTTTTGCGCGAACGACGGCTTCATTTTTTCCAAATCCCATCAAACTACCAAACTTCTGTAAAATAGATTGCTGTATAGAAATCTTATTCGCATCAATGAAAGGATCCATCCTGTCAAAACTCACAATTATATATTCCTTATCTTTAAGTTTTGATTCCATAACAACATTAAAAGCGCGATTCGTATCACAAAGCACGTCTACCATTTCACTATTTACGTCTTTTTTTTGTTCTTCGTAAGCAGGGACCTCGTCGATCCAAGGTTCCCATAATTGTTGAAACGCTGCTTTGCATTTTTTTAAATCACCTGTATTCTGAACAGATGCAATGAAGGTTCGGGCTCTTTCAAGTAGCTGTTTTTTGTATTTCTGTTTCTTATCCTCGACTTCTTGTAGCTGCTGCAAATGGTTGAAAGTGGCCTGGCAACTTCTCATTGCAGTCGTTTGATGATTTTCCTTATGTTGCTCAATTCTGTTCATGACGTTTTCCTCCCACTGTTCAAGAGTTGATCTATCTTCACTGTTTTCAATAAAACTCTTTATAGAATTTTCCATTTTTCTCTGAAACTCTTTTGCACTTTCACGAATCTTTATTTTGCCTTTTAACCATTGCTGAGAGCGCTCTTCAAGCGTTGAGCATCTTGTCAAGCTTAGTTGGATTATTCTTTCAATTTCAGCCATTCCATTCACCAAATTTTTAACATATTCCTCAAAATACATCTTGTCTAAAGATGTAAAAGCTATCACTTCAATTACATTTTGGAAACTAAAAATAAAATTTTCCTTTAGCATTGCTTCCCAGAGAATCTTTACTCTATCACGAAATTCAGAAATACTGTTTTTACAAACATCCTTTGAGCACATGAATTTAATTATATTTTTCTTTAGTTCTAGCACAGCACTGCCGTAATCTGGGTTAATTGGAGTCATAGGGGGACTTCCTTTTAGAAGACTTGGCATGTAAAACACGTCTTCGTTTTCGTCAAATGCAATAATGTCGTCGAACTTTTGAAACTTATCTTCGCAGTTTTCATATATTGCAGCAAGCTTGGCCATTTTGTCTAGATCTTGTTTTAAATTGTGCCGATCTGTCATTAGCTTCTCATTAGCATCAGCTGCAGCAACATTTTGATGGACGATTTTACAAAACTTTTTCTTATTTACAAGTTTCATTTTCAGGAAAGCATGAACAGCAATCTGCAAAAACTCCTTCATTTCATTCTGATTTTCACCAAAGACATTGATAAT